GTTCTTTTTCAAGTATGCTTCTTGATAGAATTGTTTTAAAACTAAACTTCTTATTTTCATACTATTTCTAGTAGTTCGAGAGTTGAGCCTTTCTTTTGGCTATGGTTTTCGAATTCATGATGTGTTTGTTCATGAGTTCCTTTGTGGGGTTTGTCCTTATTTTTGTTGGATAAGTTGTACTTTGGCATAAGTATTTTGAGATAGTGTATGTGTTGCATATCTTTGTTGGTTATGGAGATTACTAATCAATAGTATTCCTTCATAGTTGAGCATTGTTTGCTCCTACCTTTCTTGAGTCTCTTGAATGATGACTGATCTAATATATTGAATGGTGTCCTTACTATTCTTAGTGTGGGTTATTGTTTAATTTGAGTCTTTCATAGATTATATGTTATTTGCTTGGTTTGAGTTAAGAGATAGAAATCCTTAGATAAACAATCGTATTACTGTGAATTTTTTGCACTCTTTTGAGTTTCACGAGATAGACAAAATATCTTTGTACTTTCTTGTTTGATGGTTGCATTAACGAAATTTTCTTCATCTACGAGATTGTTATCAACAACCGTCATGTGTGTTATATTCGACCGGCACAAGGGTATCATTAGTGGAATAAGCCTAACGCCCGAACAGAATGCATATCACCGGTTTTACTTTCGTCACGTCCGAAGAAACTTGGTGGCTCAGTTTTGAAGTAGAAAGATCAAGAGGTTTTTTGGGACATGGGCTCAAAACTTTCAAAGAACTAAGGCAAGAGCTACGTGACTTTGATAATGAAGCATATTTGTATCTCGAGGAGATTGATACTTGCCAGTGGGCGCTTGCAAAAGACAAACACTATCGTTGGGGTAACCAGACAACTAACATTTCAGAGAGTAACAACAACACCCTCAAGGGTGTTCGTTTCTTGCCGATCCGAGCTTTGGTGGAAGCCACGTTTTTGAAGACTATGGATTTGTTCCAGGAAGAATACATAGCGTCGAGAAAATGCATTACACCCCTCCCAACCGACTTGTGGGAAGACTTCTTGAAAAAAGAGAAAAAAAATCCATGCAACACAAAGTCAAGCGTTACGTTGCGGTTAATGGGAAGTTCAAGGTGGAAAGTAAAAGCCGACTTGGTAATAAAGGTGGCAATGAGTACACTGTGAAATATGAAGAGAAGAAGTGTTCGTGCAAGAAGTGGCAGGAGTATAGGATGTCTTGTTCACATGCACTAGCCGTGTGTCGGAAGATAAAAGATCAACCAATCAATATAGTGGATCCACATTTCAGGGTTGTTGCTTGGCAAGACCAATTCAGTGGGCACGATGACTTTACCCCAGTCCCTGATAAGAGAAAATGACCTAAGGTTGGATGGAGACTAGTTCCTAACTACGAGCGAGTTATGTGCATGCTGGGCCCGATCGTTGGCAAAAAAAAAAAGATTTAAAATGCAAATGGATTATAGGGGACGCAAATCGGGGTGAATGTTTGAGATGTAGCTCAAGGAATCATTTCACATCTGCGTGCCCCAAATCGCATAAAAATATCCGACATGACAAGGCTCAAGATCAATTGGGACGTCGATGGTATTCACAATGACTAGGATTGTTTGTTTCAATTGTCCTTTTAACATCCGACCTTGTGCTTTTAAGAAAGAGGTCAGATTTTAGAAATCCAACCTTTAGGTAGTATATAAACATTTGACCCGAAATTGAGGGAGTCAAAATCGACTCCCCCTTCTTCTCCAACCCTAACTCGTCAACTACACCCCCTCCCGGCGACCCACCACTGCAAATCCCCCTCCCGGCGACCCATCGAACCCTAAGACATAGTTGGGGTCAGTTGTGTTGGTGAGATTGTACTTTGGTATGTGTCAGGCTTCCGCGCCCGATAAGAATGACATTACCGGATGCTATATACTGATGCATGTACAATTTTTTGTTTTTTTGTTTATTTATATTTTTTTATTTTTTTATTTGTTATTCTAATTTTTGCCTTTTCTTTTGATTTATAATTTCAGATATGGGCTTGGGAGCGTATCCCAAGAATTCAACCGAAGAGGAAAGTTAAAGACCAGAGTTACTTTACACCGGGCGCTCCACTAGCCAATAGGTATTTATAGATTTATTTTATTATTATTTCTTATTTCTTATTTCCTCTTATATGTACTTTGGTTTTTTAGATTTAAATTTAATTAATCTAATGAGAGTTCCGTTCCTTCATAGGTGGAAATGCCCAAAATCTAAATCGAATGTTGTCGCTCAATGTGTTGCTAACATCAGGGATCAGTTATCTAGCCTAAGGGATGGTGATGTAAGTATTAATTTTTATTACTCGATCAAAATTCCTTCTCTTTTCCCATATTTTTTACCATTTTTTTCTTCACATCTATATATTTTTAATAATTATATCAATTTTGGCCAGTTTCTGTGGACTCCATACACTCCCTTCATCGACGCTCTCCCTGATCTTTGTAAAGAGGAGTCTCATATCTACCTCTGCAGGACGTGGATCTTTTGTTGGGCCGTCAGAGAACCATACGAGCCCAATCAAGTCCTTCGTCAGTTTCGGTGTAAGCAAGCTAAGCTAGAGGAACTGTTAATCCGTGACAGTGATCGCTGGAAAGCACTACGGAAGCCTACAGACTGGAAAGGCATATGATGATTGGGTGCTAAAACACAGTGAGGTACAACCTCATTGGAATGTGAGGGAAAAGAACGTGGTCCCGCATGAGTTGGTTGATCCGGCTCTTGGTCCTTAGTACACAACAGACTATATGTCGTGGTTTCAAAGGAGGGCTGTCAGATTCATCACTGATCCCATCCAATGCGCCACTCTGGCACAGAATTATCACTCGTCTTCATCTCGGGAGAGATTTTATGTAAGATTTATGTTGTTATTTTAATTTAAAAATTTCTTTTACTTTTTTTTTCCTTCCTATATCTTATACTTTATTAACATGGTTCAAATTTTGCAGGCTGAAAATCTTAGCGACGTATATCATCTTGCTGAATCCATCTTACGAGCAAATCCTGACCTTGGTGGTAGCCTTGAGGAAAAACTCTTGGATATATCGATGAGAGTTTTAGTGCCCTGACTTTGGCCCCAAATGAGCACCCAGAAAGATAGTGAGGTTCTTAAGAAAAGACCACCGCAGTCAAGTGAACATATTGTGCTCACGCAGAAAACAATATCTCAGCCTACTGGAGGTGGAAGGAGGAGGTGACAACCAGAAATTCGAGATCAAAGATTGATAGTTCATCCCAATCCGTCTCCGATGCAAGAAGATGATGAAGACCATCAAAGCGATGAAGATTATTACATTGGGGGTGAGGAAGAAGAAGGAGAAGAAGAAGAAGAGTCCCCTACACCTCGTGTTTCTTCCCAAAAGAAAAAGAAAATGGCCGAGGTTCTCAAGAGTGATACGGTTAGTAAATCGGCCAACAAATATACTTCCGGTTCCATTAGGGGTAGAGGGAAAAAAAGGCCCTCCAAGTAGTTTTATTGTAGAACTATTTGATGTGAATAATTTGGATGTTTTTATGATTTTGAACTCGTTAATATTTATTAGTTGTAATTTGGATGATTTGGGAATTTAAATGCTTTTGAACTAGTTAAAGTTTGTAACGGTGTGTTCCGAATGTGTTTTTAGACAATTTCCTGCGTGGAATTTTGTTTTGGTGCTGTTGTGATAGGTTGGAATTGGTTTAGAAACCAATTCTTTCTTTTTTTTTCTAAGTTTCTGTCCAAATCCGACCTTGTCACTGTTCAACTGACCCGAATTTTCAAAATCCGAACTTACCTTACCCGGCTTTCAGAAATCCGACCTTTTTACTGTTCTATAGTAAATTGGAAATCTGAAATCTAACCTTGGTCAAAATTTTGATTTCGAAAAAAATCTAAGTATTTTTCTTTAAAATATTATTTTTTAACATACCAAGGTCGGATTTTAAAAATCCGACCTTCAGTTAATCATGATTAATGTAATTAATTTTTAGTATTAAAGGAAAGTTGGATTTACAAAATCCGATTTAAAGGAAAAATCGGATTTTAGGAATCAGATCTCGGTATTTTTTTCTTCTCCAAAATTCGACCTATATTTATCTCTACTCTTATTTCTAGAGCATTTTTTTGATAAAAATAAAAAAAATAAAAAAAAAAAACTCGGTTGATACCTGACGTAGTACATACAAAGGAAAGGATAACGCAATTGAATCACTCAGATGACCAAGACATTTTTTTGCAAAATGCAAATATAGACTAGAAGTATTTCACCAATTCCAAAATATTGTTCAGTCTCACTCTTGATACAATATTTACTAGTACTTGCTCTGCACATTGCGTAGGTATTATAAAACTGAAGGAAAACAAATATATATTCATGAGCAAATAATTACGATTTAATGTCATGCATTATATTACTCCCTCTGGTCCTTAATATAAGGTATTTTGATTTGTCCTAAATTTTCTCTAATATGTATTTTTAATTGGCAAAAAAAACCTTAAAAATATTTATAAACAATAAAGAGAACACAACAAATATGAAAATATATTTTTAAGCTTTTTTTAAGGATTAAAAATATATCCTAAGTGAAACCTAGAACAAATCAAAATATCTTATATTAAGAACAGGAGAAAGTATTTTTTAAAGATAATTCCAGCCTGCTTTTGGAAGCAGGTCACTAAATTTTAGCTTTTTCTAAAAAAAAAAAAGTTTGGTAAAAATTGTAGCATATGAATAAGGAGAGAATTGAAAATGATAATGAGTGGCACGTTTTTCTACCCCTTACTACCAGTATAGATGCTCTAATACTATAATATCAGTAACAGAGAAGGCATCACGAAATAGAAAAATAAGTTTACTCTCTTCCAAAAAAAATACTGCACGGTGAGGTTTTTGGATAGAGAGAATACGTTATTTTCAATTCAGATTCTGATGAAACGTAAATTCAGTTGTAAATTCATTAGTTTTTATTCCTATAAATACCCAAATTGTTCTTAAACTTTCTCCTAAACACCTTATAGAGAAGATGTCAAGTGTAGATTAGAATTTGGGAATGAATGAGAACCCATATCACTGCTTACCTCCTCCTTTTCATTCTCCTGTTCTATCACATTTCTTGTTGCCAAATCATAATATCTATTATCTTCAAAAAAATTCATCTTCAAAACCACACTCATTTTACCTCTCACAAAATTGTCCTTCGCTAACCATCTTCTTACTTTGCCAGAAGTAGTCTTTGGTACACTTCCACTCTTAACAAGAACAACCACTCCTACTTCCATACACTCTTCCTCCATCACAGATTTCCTTATTCCTTCACAGATTCTTCGAAAATCGATGTCTTCTCCTTCCCGATGTTGCATCTCAGCAACAATAACAACTTTCCCTGAGCACAGAAATGCTGCGAGGCACCCTCCTCGTAGATTCTTCGGGTTACTTCCGTAAGCAATGGTTTCGATGTAATGTGGATGCAACTCCCTGCTGCTGTTGCTACCTGGTACTTTGATAGTGTCCGAAATTCTGCCAGTGACAAACAAGAATTTTTCTTTCCCTATCACCAAGCCGCGATCTCCAGTCCGTACGAATGGATATGACCTCACCCTCTTGTTGAGCATTCCATTGAACACTTCTCTAGTTAAGGAAGGATGACCAAGATAACCTGAGGCATTGCTTGGAGATGAAATCCATATTTCCCCTTCGATACCATCCTCAACGGGATCTCGTGTTTCTTCATCGACGACTAGGATTTCAATTTCTTCCTCTTCGTCCGAGGAAGAATCAAGCCTTGCGCTCGGCAAGAGTTTCTGGTAACAGGGCAATTCCTCGTTTTGGTGTTCTGTTCTCCATGCTGTTGAAACAAATGTGCAATTCTCCGCTAAGCCGTAAGAGGGCGCGACTGCTGATGGATTCAGTCCATATGGTCTAAATGCTTTGACAAATTCATCAATCAAAGCCTTGTAAATCGGCTCATTGATGATGATCAGGTTCTTCAGACTCGCCAAGTTGATCATCGGAGTTGCTCCTCCGTCCGCGATCCCGCCCCGCTTCAAAACGAGCGGCAGCGCGAACGACGGAACAGGAGTACAAGTTGCCCCGAAACTCGTGATCAACTCGAGCCATATTCGAGGCCTTTGAACAAACAAAGATGGAGAAGTGAGCACGCACGTCGCGCCGGAGACCACGGTAAGAAGCAAGAACATTAGGCCGCAATCATGGTACTGAGGCAACCAGGACACAATCACACTGTTCGGATGCAAATCGTAAGCTTTCCGAGCTACACGAACATTATGTGCAGCTGCAGCAGCCGTAACAATCACCGGTTTCGGGATCCCCGTGGCGCCCGAAGTGTACTGAATCAAGTATACATCTTCAGGCTTGCAACCATTATATGCAGAAGAAGAAGAAGAAGATGGTGGTTCCGGATTCAAACCCGAACGATGAACTAAAACATCCTCAGATGCAATCCATTTCAGCTTCTTTAACCACTGAGACTGCTGGTGATTTTTATTATTACTATTACTATCAGAAATATATCGTTCCATACATTTGATGTATGATTGATTGGCAATGGCAGCTTTAGGCTTGGTTTGTGAGATCACTCTAATGAGATGGTGAAAATTAGGATTGTCAAAAGTTGGAGGGACAATGGGAACAGCAATAAGACCAGCTCTTTGACACCCGAAAACGAATTCGACGAGCTGGAGCCCTGGATCACAGAGGACAACAACTGTATCTCCTCTGTTCAATGGAACGAGCAGATTGGAAGCAATACATTGTGCTGATTTGTTGAGCTGCTCATAGGTAAGAGTTGAATTACGGTCACCATCTTCAACCCACATAAATGCTGGCTTGAACTTGAAGGATGGCAACTGTGCCCAAATTTTCAGGTACAGATCAACGACTGGTTGATCAGGAAAACAGGGGTCGTAATTTTCATAGCTCATTTTTCTTATTTTTTGAAATGTTGTGGTGGTGATGAAGCGAATCGTTGAGCCAATAAAATCAGTTTATATATAGAGTATAAGTGAGTAACCCATAAATATTTATGTCATTTTTGGTCATAATATGAATACAAAAAAAATGTACACTTCAGATGAGCAGGAGGAAGATTACAAAAGTACAATCAATCCCAAGGGAATATTAGGAATATGCAAAGAACAATTGTGAAGATATTCTGGAATAATCACTCTGACGGATTACACTATGGAAATACCCGCATGGCCGCATAGATAAATTTATTCAATAGTTTTTTAGTGAATCCAGTAGGATTATAGTGATACAGGGCGGCAATTCCTGTCTGAAGCTCGCTGTTCTTTTTGTGAGTTTCGCTTTCATCCTGATGTCATTAAGTATGCCCACCTCTGTCCTTTTCACACACATTCATTAAATTGCAAGTTTTGGTCCAGTAATTCGTATTAATGGATCTAACGGTATGCCTGATCAATCCTCTTCGACTTGAGGATCATACACCCAAAGTCCTTAAGAGCCCTTGCATGTTGTGGAAACAATCAGCTATCTTAATTAGGTTGATGCATGATCAAATGGACAACTGAACCAACTAATAATAAATGTTAATAGAGTCAATTTTACTAAGTTAGGCAAATTCAGGTGATTCTGATCCAAAAATATTGTCCCGTTTATTATATTGAAATATAATACAAAACTGTCAACCATTTCACAGCTGAAAGACTATTGAACTAATCAAAGCCCCCCTTCCTCTTTAAAACGTGCTAACAAAATTATTGAGTTTTAAAGATCCCTCACGCTTTTCATGCCCAAAAAATTCATTTAGAGATTTAGTTGAAAAAGAACTGGTACCACCTTTCAGCCCTGAGTGTTTCTATATGTAGGAAAAACTCGGAGAGATTTAATGTAGGTAAAGGGACATGAGAGTTCATGAGTTGCTCATATCTAGTGTGTATTTTTCGTTTTTTTATGAAAGGTTTGACAACTTTATTTTTTCCATATGCATATCGTTTGAGCAATTGAGCCATTTCATGTTATTTTGGCAAAACAATTAGACGCGAACTCTTATGACGGTAGTGAGGTCTTAAGTGGACTTCTTAGAAGTTCATTAATCCAATTCCGTTTAGTTGAGGTGAAAGTTTATGGGTTTTTATTAATCACTACGACCATAGTTAACTACATATCATCCCTCTAATAAATAATATTCCATCTCTTTCAGCAAAATAGTATACATTGAAAATTTTCAATTTTATACTATAACTAATTTGAAAACTCAATGTAAAATATTTTTTTAGACATATAATATATTACGTACATTCATAAAGCACGATACGACTAATCTCGTTAATCAAGCAGATTGAATCAAAATCACAACCATTCCAAGTCCAAGTTAGAGCTGAACAATCAATATTGAAATTAACTATGATTCAAACCATAATTTAATCGATAAATGCATTTCATTATAGTAATGGTTTATCAAAGTTGGGTTTAAAACCTGCTTAAATTCAATATGGAATAATTTTAAATTTTTGGTCATCTCTATAATTTTATGCAAAACATTAACCATGCATTGTTATCGATAATACGTCGCTATTTATAACATCTACTTTATTCACACTATTGAGTGTGAGACGAGATTCATGGACCAACTCAAACTAATTTGGCCAATTCTATGGGGGAAAAAAACAAATGAAGATGAAGTATATAACTCTGAGCAATTGGATGTTCAAGATGATAGTTTCCTACTCGTATAAGAAAAAGACTAATGCAGTACCATTTCGTTTCACACCCTACTAACTCTTTGTAACACAAATATTCAAATCTGAGAACAAGAAAACACAAGGATCCAATCAAATGGTGCCATAAACTCCCATTACCATCAAGACCCCAAAAATTTTCACACCAGAGAAGGAACCAGGGATTCTAGTAATACTGGACTTTGATGCATCATTATTACTACCACCATCATCACTCACATTTTGCGGAGTATCAAAATACGAAGGAACCAGCGTATCCGGAGCCGAATCCTCGTTATTGGCGTCGGGATTCGCCGGCGCCATGGCGTCTCCTTTCAGGCTAGGCGGCAACCCGTTGCCATACGTGACGTTGATTGCGAAGTGTTGACCGTTCTGGCATTGCTCGCCGTCGTAGTCACCGGAGAAAAAATAGGTGGGGCCCACCTTGAGAAGCGGCACCGGAACCGAGACGGGCTGCGGAGACGTCGATGATGGATCAGCTGATGACCACTGGATGGTCTCGTTGTTGTCAGGGGCATTGTCGTAATCACAACTCTGGTATGCTGTGAAGTTGTTGGTTTGGATCACGGAGTGATTGCTGTCCGTGTTAAAAACTGAATAAAAAAAACACACCAAAAATAAGTCATTAACAACAATCCACCGTTAATCATATTTCATTTCGCCATAAAAATTCACATAAATATATTAACGAAAATAATCAGTATCCGCCATTGTAACAAATATCTTATTCGTCTTATTCATACAAAATAACAATAAATTATCTTCCTTTGTCTCAAAATTATTATCCAGTTCGAAATTTTAGTTTTAGTATATTTTAAACTAAAAATAAAAACTCAAACTGGACAATAATTTTGAGACGGAGAGAGTATTTTGTATAAGAAACCTTATTCCGAAGAAAGTACAGAAAGAGACCATTAAATGAATCGAAACTCAACTTAATGTTTTCTTTTTACGGGTAAAAAAAGATCCACTAATTGCTACACATTAGAAGATTTCAGTAGACTTTGAGGTCACGTAATTTTAGTGTCCTACATATTACTTTTTGTAACAGTTGTGAGATTTTTTATTTTTATTTTTTTTTTGCAAAATGATGCAAAATGAGAGGCTCACAACCTATAATCAAACCTGTACATTTCAAGAGTACGATATCCCAATTAAATCAATAATATAACCAAAGTCCAACACCTACTGTGGTTCATTGAACCATTGCAACTCTCTTAAACCTTGCAATGCCAACTTCGCCAAATAGTCGGTTACGAAATTTGCCTTCCGAAACGATGTTTGATCTCCACACTCCAATCACGCCGTCGAATTCCGTTAACAACTCCAGCATTCATCTCCAAGATTTCTTTTCCATCTTTCACCATAGAGATAATACTCATGTTATCCATTTCAGCAATAATCGTTGTGAGATTTGATATCACTCACGTGGCTAGCTGATCCATATTTTGAACACTACTGAACTATAATGATCGTTTTTATTCGTTAGCTTACTAAAAAGTAAAAACAGTCCCAAAAACCATATACGCTCAACTCTGAATTAAAAGCTCAAATACTCAATGTATCCAACATTAGATGATGATCATATAATACTAATTAATGCAAACTCCCACCTCCCGAAATGATACGTATGTTTTAGATTTTCTCTCACCTTCTTTTTTTTTTTTTAATGAATTGTAGTATTAAAAATGAAAATCGATATTCTCATCGACTACAAAATTTATCAAAATTTAAGAAGGTTGTTTATTTTATTTATTTATTTTTTTTGCTCTTTTGAGAATGGCTCAGTAGGGAGCACTCCTGACTCCTGAGGCAAGCCCACATGAACAAGGAGGTTACGTTGCGTCTTGGTACAGCAAGATATCAGATTCACCTTTTTCAATAAGTGCTATTTATTTATTCTTTAACATCTGAAGTTAAACTAACACACAACTTGTGAGAGATAAGAGTACACAAAATGTCACGGCAAAATCTCTAAATTCTAAACTGACAACAAATCCCATGTTACTGCAAACTACTAAAGAAACATATATCCCATGTTACTCCCAACTTTTAATTTAACTTATCAGATTGGTCAAGGTATCTATCATTCAGCCCTTTTTTTTTTTTCCTTTCTTTCTTTCGTGTTTTATAAATCTCCGTCACCGACAAAGCACAAATACCATCAATTTATTGTACTAAAAAAAAGCATAAAACTATGAAAGGACAAAAAGCCATCCAACTCCCAGCTGTTTTGTTCTTCATTATTTAGTTGGATATGAGGAAAAGAATAATTATCCTGGACACTTGTAAGAACGTAAGCAACTTATATAGAGATGATAGACCTTTACTTTTAATTCTTTTATAAAAAATTAAAATAGTGCTGTTTAGTTGACAAAAACAAAAGTTTTTGCTCATGATTGGGTAGTAGTTGTAGTTATTAGAATTATAATCATTAATCATTAGTCACCTTTCTAAGCAAATGATTAATTGGGAAAGTTAAACCACTCAGATTATATACATGATGAATATATCATAGAACTTCCGTGATTACACGTTCGTATTCTCATCACTACATCAATTCTCTTAACCAAATAAATTTGGAGAAACAATGTTTTCTTAACCAACATTCCTTCACAATCCCTCTGTAACTGATGCTTCTTTATTAAAAAAAAAAAAAAAGAAAAAGAAAAAAAAACCAACATTCCTTCACAATTCCTCTGAACTGTCAGATTCGTTGCTATTTTCATTTTTGTAAAATCAATATAATTAGATCCTTGTTGATGAAAAAGTACTGTACTATCTAATAATGTTAACCTTGACACAAGTATTCGCTCATCATAACCCTTTCTTTTCTGATATGTACAGAAGCAATGGGGGAATTGGATGACAAATATGTGATTTCGCGGAAAAAGTTACCCTTACCAAACCAAGAAATTAGATAGATTATAAAATCAATATATATCTTTGCAATAATGAAATGTAAAAAGAAAGAAAAAATGGTGCGATTTCGACTTAACGAACAACTACTGAGATCAATGTAATATGATCAGTTCTTTTTTTTTGGGTGGGGAGTAAATTCAATCCCCAATTAAAAACTTTAAGGAGAAAAGTAAATAACCATTTAGCATATGACATCATCTCTATGTGCTTGTTTTCAGGACACAGAAAACCAAAAGATTGATCCCAATTCCCAATGAATACAGAACTAGTAATTAATAACCCGAAACAACACACCCCCACCCACACAAAAAAAAGTGTGAAACAGATCATGAAAAAATCTACAAGAGCAAAGTCAACAAATGACATCAGGTGAATTTGTTCGGATGATTTGCATAACCAGAATGCAAACAAACTTATCATCCTCATTGAAAAAGTGCACAGGGAAGTTGCAAATGGCAAAAAAAACAAGGCATAAATCTTAAAGCTCAAAACAAGAAGTTAACAAATTGGAAGAAGAAGAAGAAGAAGGAGGAGAAGAAGAAGAACTTACTGAGGAAATCACCAAGGCTAAAGGTTTTGGAAGCAGCCCATTTCTGGTAATCAACTTCAGGATTCTCAAGAGTGTCAAACCAGCCTAATGAGTCACCCACTGTGTAGTTTTTGTAAGCAGCAGATGATGATGATGATGAGGCAGCATCAGATCTTGAAGAACAGAGCAGAAGAAAGAAAGTACTCAAAGTAAGAAGTAATATATGGGATTGGCCCAGCCTGAGACTGCCATTATGGTACATTTTTTGTTTTTTTGGGCTACTGTTTTTGCAAATTTAGCTCAAGTTGGGTTCTTCTGTAATCTGTATTCTGTTTTGTCAGTTTTTATCCTCTCGGTTAGTAGTGGATTTTGCTTCTTTATTAAAGAGAGAGGCAGCGGACAAAAGTAAAGGACTATAAAAGCACTCTGAGATATTATACATGGTTTAAGTACTACGTACTGCTGCCAAAAAAAACTGACTACATTTATTGATTTTGACTTCCTTCCAACCCACCACAATGGACAAAGCCTTTGTACTTAAGGGTGACTTACCTAGTCGTCAAGGGTCGAGATGACCCAATATTCCAATAAGTGACTACGGTTCAGTAATAATTATCACATCACCAACATTATATAAAAAATAATGATACATAAGAAAAAATAATAAATAATTGATCATAACCATTTATTTTTAACAGTTTTTATTAGGGTTTAACCATTCACAATTAGGGTATTGTTCAGGTGATTGACAAATCATTATTTTTAAGTTTTGTTATAATTTTCTCCTGTATATATCACTACTCCAATATTTCTGTCATATTTTCTCTCCCTAAAATTTCTATCACAGACTTGGTCATCGAGATTTCAGTCTATAAGACGCTGACAATCAAGAGAGGATGATCCTCAAAGACCTCCTGCACGTTGTGTAGCTCATTGACAGATTAAATGAGTTTTGCTTTGGTCAAATGACATTTTCTCTACATTTCGGGTTCAGAGGTTCGAGAAAAACTCTCTGAAGTAGTTAAGGACACACAATGCCCATTCAACCCACGTAGTTGAAAATCAACCACTAAGCCGATCCTATGAACTGATCAAGCAGCTTGTTATTATAATTGAAACTCCATTACTAATTTGGTACTTCGAAAATTCTTAAGAAAATGTTCAACTTGGAAAATCTGATTAGTGCTCAACACATTCGTATTCATCAAGAGTAATTGATCCATCACAGTATGGTTGATCACCTGCTAATGGCAGAAACCATCTTAATCTATCCCTAACATACTCCACAGAGACTCTAACATGACTAATCAAAAAGAACCAGAGAACATTCAAGTTATGCCTTATTTAGGAACAGAGGTACAAAGTGGTAAAACAGAATGGCATCTAGATAGTACGAGCCAAGTAAAGAAAGATAAACAATTAAGTTCCTCAAACCAATCATTGCCATGAATCATCTGAACACTCAACTGAACAAAGCAAGGAACAAAGTGTCTGCATTTTAAAGACAAAACTAGTGCACACTGCGCAGAACCCCATGCAAATAACCAGCGCTCATGACGAACGAAACAAAGGAGACCACACCAGCTGGGAAAATCTTGCCTGACCTCCTAAAGCGGGAACCCATCACTACCAAAAGTGCTGCAGACAGCCCAAGACCAAGTGACGATGCAAAAACAGGGTTCGTGGGAAGCGTTGTATAGACATAATACAAAAGTGAGGCTGATAATCCACCAGCTAGCAATGATTTATGGCTGCCACTCTTCAGACATCCCATCACTCCACCCGCTCCAACCAATAGAGCATAGCCTAAAGTTAACTTTTGAGACATGGACATTCCAACGTTTTTCTTGCTGCTGCCTGCGTCGTCATCCTTGCCTTCACCTTCATTTTTATTGTTACCATTACCACCATCATTACCTCCACTACCACCACCGCCACCATCATCCCCTCCATTAGAATTGCCAAAATCATCCCCACCTCCACCAGTATCAGGTAGCACATCAACCACTCCACCAGCTGAATCGGCAGTGAATGTCGTAGGCATTTTAGAATCAGAGATGACACTTGCTGTAATCCCACAAAATAGCTTTCTATGTGTAGACAAGGTTGTCGATAAAACTGAATTTGTCACCACGAGATGGGAAAGGGAAGTTGTTAAAGATAATGGTCCGTAATGAGCATTCCTGTACCACCGTGGTGTGGTATATTGTAGCTGAATCTTAGGTAGCATAAGTAAAGATGATCCCATTAGAACTGGAAATGGATCTTAAGCCTAAAACACAGTTTCTTTGATGTGAAGTTTGAATAAACTTAGTTTGGAGGACTTCTCTTATTCGGATCTTTTAGTCTTCGCACTTCTCACCTTCACAAATCTGCAAATAGTATACAAACATATCATATCTTGTACTTAGCAATCCTTCAATGATGATCTTTTCATGAGAAAATAATCGAAACAAATACCACTACAATACCATCATTCATTATTTACAGACATCATTTTAGCACAATATATCTTTGACATTGTATTCAAATAAGACAAAAGTAAACAGCTCATCAAAATTCTCTGAATTGTAATTCTGAAAGTTGCAACTAGCAACTGAACTCAACTTGGGAATTCCCGACAAAGAAAAAAACACAACCTATAGCACAAATCTACTGCCTCAAGATTGAGCAGCATGGAATTTAACATTTTGTTCACCAATAAGAATAATGATGATACTAATAACAATCAACACTAATTAATTCTACCAGAAGTGTTCCTACATTTTAAGCAAGTGAATAAAATACAATAATCACCTATATGGACCTTGCTCTCATTTACCAAGGGCGTAATCAACACGGATATTCCTATTGTCCAACACCTGAAAAGGGATAATGAATATAAGAGAGTTAAATCACAAAAATGACCGATAAATGCTGCCTCAAGTCTCGGGTATAATACCAAGACAAACCTTGTCATTCATTTCCTTTAAAGCTTTACTTGCGGCAGTCTCAGAGTTGAAATGCACAAATCCATAACCCTTCGACTTTCCACTCACGTGGTCACATATTACCTTAGCTGTTCATGCATAACCGATCATATATCAGCTCGGAAAAATGAAATGCATTAAAAGAAGAAGGGCCAAAGGGTTAAACATATTGCCTTCAATAACTTCACCAAAGTCCTCGAAAGCTTGCTTCAGAATCGTTTCATTTGTGTTGTAAGACAGCCCTACAAAAGCAAACACAACGGGAATTAACACAAACATTCGTGCCATTAGGTGTTCTCGGACACTCGGACAACTGGATGTAAAACGGTCAGTACGCAACTCAACTTTCAATAACTCCAAAAGCAGGCTCCGAAAATGAATAAAATTCAGGCATTAAATGCATTCAATTAACAAGTTCGGCTCAGAAATAAAAGAGACCTCCTAGGAACAACTTCGTGGAGAAAGGATGAGAGAAAAGCCATCGCGAGAGAGGATGTGAATACCAGAACCTCGACCTGTACATGGTCTTCATTCCAGTTCCTCTTTACGCTATAGAAATATTTTCTGCCCTGAACAAAGGCCAATGGGTATAATAAAACTCCATTCCAAAATTTCCAATTCTTACTGACGCAGGACCAAACGTGGTGGTTAACAAATCAAACTTAGGCTGATTAAAGAATAGTACGCAGCAGAAAACTAAAAGAATCTATAGGAAAACAAGCTTAGAAATCACAGGAGTAACAGAGATAAACTGAAGGGAAAGAGAAGAAAACCTAAGAATCACTCTTAGAGGCCTTTGGCATCACACCGCAGGAATCCTAGGCATCACACCAAGGGTTTAGTTGAGTCACACAACTACTGTTGAAAGCAAAAGCTCGCAGGAATTTTTATTAATCTGATAACTGTCTAAAACCCTCAAACGAGAAACATATATATAGGTCTAAACAAACAGCAAATAGGAAATTAAATCTTAACTTCCTAAAACTAAATTTCTTTTGACGACCTAAAACTTAATCTATAAGGAAATAAAACTAAATACCAAAAATAGGAAACCAGTACTCCAGAGAAATCCTGCAACATAGCAAAATCACTGAAGTACCCTTATTCTAGAATATTGGAATAATAACAACATAAATTCCTGCATACTTTAATTACTAATAATGGTTAATCTAACCAACCAAAGGTCTGACACTTTGGTTTCCTCCACTGATCATGATGATCCTGGGCATAAATATGGAAGAACCTACTGATAGGGTTCTTCTACCATTCCTTGTCCCCATCACTTACCCATTTAAATCAGACTGTTGACTAACAAGCAGAACAAAATAACCCTTTTTTTAAAAAAGTTTTTCTCCCCTCAAAAAATGGGGTACTAATTACTCTAAACAAGTATATAATTGACTGTAAAATCCAAAACAAAAGACACTAATTATCACATAAATAGCAAAGAGACTGAAATTTGCATCATCAAACAAGATACAAATTCTAACAACAAATTAAAGACTGCTGAAAATAGTAGAGAACCACAGATAAACAAACCATTTTACCTTGATTTCAGAGAAGAACACCAAAGAGAACTACTCGATAGACCTCGGGGAGCAAATCCTACAGGCACCAAAACGGCAAAACCCCAGATTCTACTGCGGAAGAAACTAGAAAGATTTTGCAGATGTTTTCTTATCATATATGTTTTGACGGTTCTGATGCAACGGACTATTTTTATTGATGGCTTAATGGACGGTTTGGATTAAAGGTAATGGGAGGATGGAAAGCTTGAACTGAATTGCTTTTCGCAGTTCACAAATTACTCACTAATAGTTCATTTTAGACAATTTTACTCCTGAACTTTTACCTAATTACAAAACCTACTCAAAATATATTTATCATATAATTTTAATATAATATCTAGTGCATTTTTTATTTGAATATAAAAATAAATTATAATAAGAATAAAAACTTATTATACCTAATTTTTGTATTTAATCTATACTAATTACTAAATTAAATTAATTATACCTAACAAATTCAATTAAATTAAAAATGTTAAAACTTATTATACCTAATTTCTATATTTAATCTATACTAATTATTAAATTAAATTAATTATACATAATAAATTCAATTAAATTAAAGATGTTATATCTAGTGCATTCCCGGTAAACCGGCCAACCTTCAAAGGGTATGCGGCCGTCCTGGACAATGCCCTTTTTTTTCAATTTTTTGTGTTATTTTTATATTATTTTTTGTTATCATTATTTTTTTTGTATAATTACTTTAGTTTTATATTTTGTCTTATTGTTCAATTAATTTAGTTAAATTTATTTATAATTAATTTAATTAGTGTATATTGTGTTATTTAGTTGTAATTAATTTACTCAAAATATAACAAAAATAACTAATTCATTTACCTAAACAATAATTATTAATGCCTACAAATTAATACTAACTAAATACCACATAACTAATTACAAAAACCTACTCAAAAGGTATTTATCATATAATTTTAATATAATATCTAGTGCATTCTTTATTTGAATATAACAAATAAATTATAATAATAATAAAAAAACTTATTATACCTAATTTCTCCATTTAATCTACACTAATTATTAAAATCAATTAATTATACCTTATAAATTCAATCAAATTAAAAATATTATTAAATCAGTAAATATAACACAAAAAATAAAACTTAAAGTAAATATATAAAAAAATAATAATAATTACACAAAAAATTTTAAAAGAAATTGAAAACATTTTTTTTTGCCCAGGTTGGCCGGTTGTCGGGCCGACTACCTTTTGAAGATTGGCCGGTTTATTCACGGGCCAATGGAGAAGAAGTGGCCACTCGATGGGTCGCCCACTTCTTCCCGGTTGGCTGGTGAGTAAACCGGCCAACATTCAAAAGGTGGCCGGCCCGACAGCAGGCCACCCTTACCTTTTCTTTTCTTTTTTTCCCAATTTTTTGTGTTATTTTAATATTATTTTTTTGTTATCATTATTTTTTTGTATAATTACTTTACTTTTATATTTTGTGTTATTGTTCAATTAATTTAGTTAAATTTACTTTATTTTTTTTGAGTAAGAGCGAAATTTCATTAATTTGCTGGGAAAGCGCCCAACACGCAATGAGGTACAAACTCGGGAATGTTATCCCAAAATTTTTCAAAGTCACTTTTAGACTTTGTAAATTGTGCTAAACAATGGGGAACCATATTAAATTTACGGCTAATCCACTTGCAGTCAAATTGGATATGATCTTGAAACGAGCTTTAATGTCTGCCAGTATTAAACCCCAGTCAGACAGGTCAGTTTCATCGGATTGTAATCGATTTATAATCACTGACGACTCTCTGGCCAGAGTGAGTTGCTGGATTCCTATTGCAGCTGCTAACCTGATAAGACTCCCGTGCGGCTAAGCTTTCGATTACACATGGGGCGAACAACCCTTCATATGATTTAGCATAGCATCCGACAAATCCTGATGAAGAGTTCCAAATTAGGATACCGATCGCGGAAGTATTCAGGTCTCGGTTTGTGGCTCCATCAAAGAATATGGTAGTTCCAGGGAGCTTGCTGGCTTATTTGTCGTTGGTGGAGTTAGGAAGTGATGTAGCTGTGCTTCTTTCCATGATTCTAGCAGGGAGATGCTCATATTAAGGATTGATTTAGACTGGAGCGTGTGATTCTCAAAAACCAGAGTGTTTCTTGCTGACCAAATGCTGTAGCAGATGGATGCAAACAAGGGTAGTTTCCTTGCTGGAGGAGACTCAATTAAAGTGACTAAGAAAGACCTGATGTCTGTAACAATAGGGTAGCTTATCTGTCCGCTTAAATCGCTGCTTGACCAGACCTCTTTTGAGGTTTTGCAAGTGAAGAAAATATTTTTTAGGTCTTCCTGTATAGTGCACCCTTTGCATCGTTCGTTGGCATCAATCCTCCTTTTAATCAGGTTCTGCTGTGTTGCCAAGGAGTCAGTTACCATACGCCATAAATGATGTTTTACTCTCGGAGCTATATTTATGTTCCACAGCTTCCTCCACGTTGAATTATCTCCATTTGTGTTCGACGAACCTGCAATCGAGCTGCTTTGGAATCCAGGATGGGACTGCAAAACTCTGTAGCAAGAAGAAACTGTGAATTTGCCATGTGAGGTATAATGCCATCTCCAAAAATCCTTTGTAGTGGATGAGCTTAGAGGAATATTTATGATCATGATTACTTTATCAGGCCAGAATAGGTCGTTTAACAGTCCAAGATTCCATTCTCTTGAGTTGTTGTCAATCAGTGAGCTCACCATCGGCTTGCCTGTGAAAGGACTTTGCGGGCTGATTAGTTTGAACGAGAAAGGTTTTGGGATCCAGGGATCTTCCCAAATATCAACTGTTGAACCATCTCCTATTCTTTTACGGGCACCACATTTAAGAGCATTTTTTCCTTAGAGGATGCTTCTCCAGCTGAAGGATGGACGCGAACCAAGCTTGGCAGTCATAAATTCACTTTCAGGAAAGTAGCGGGCCTTCAGCACTTGGTATAGGAGTGACTGACTGTTCGTCAAAAGTCGCCAAGCCTATTTTCCTAACAGTGAAAGATTAAAGAGTTTTAAGTTCTTGAAATCTAGTCCTCCATCATCTTTAGGTTTACAAAGTGAATCCCAACTCTTCCAGTGAATTTTCTGTTTTTCCTTTGTATCACCCCACCAGAAAGCTGCAAGTATAGAATGAATTTCTTCACAAAGGGTATCAGGGAGCTGGAAACAACTCATTGCGTAGGAAGGAATCGCCTGAGCAACTGATTTAATTAAAACTTCCTTCTCTGCCTGTGAAAGGCTTTTTTTCTGCGAAGCCATCAACTTTTGCCCGAATACGATCCTTAATGTTGCTGAAGATCTCGTTTTTGCGCCTGCCAACAACCGAAGGAAGGCCAAGATATTTTCCATGCGAATTAGTACGTCTTACACTGAGTCTGGTTGCTAGGTTTGTGGCCACCTCATTTAGAACGTTTGGGCTGAAAAGAATCGCTGACTTATCCAGATTAATAAGTTGGCCTGAGACTTGCTCATAAAGTCTGATAATGCTGGAAAAAGCATCAATTTCAAGCTCCGTTGCTCTTCCACAAAAAAGGGTATCATCCGCGAAAAAAGAGATGTGAAATGCTGGGTGCTGTTGGAGCGACTTGTACACCTTTGAGGTTTCCACACCGTTGAGCTTCCTGAATCATTAAAGAGAAAACTTCCGCACAAATGATAAAAAGATAAGGGGATAGAGGATCCCCTTGTCTCATACCACGTTGAGGGATTAGTGATCCGAATTCTAGACCATTTAGAAGAAAGGAGAAAAAAGTAGAGGTAATGTATTTCTCAATGAGGGATATATATGACATGCTAAAACCTAATGCTTGCATTACTAATAACACAAATTTCCGTTCTACTCTATCAAATACCTTACTCATGTCTAGCTTTATTGACATTAGGCCCTCTTTTCCACCCGTTTTTTTGCAAATCTCATGATGGAGTTCCTGCACTATTAAAATATTGTCAGTAATTAATCTCCCTGGAACAAAAGCTGATTGGGAGTCAGAAATCACAAGTGGAAGTATTACTTTCATTCTATTAGCAAGACACTTGGAAATAATTTTATAAACAACGTTGCATAAGGAAATTGGCCTAAATTGAGAAACGAATTTTGGAGATTTTGTTTTTGGGATCAAGACCAAGTGTGTACAGTTTAACCTTTATCAAAAGTGCCATGGGTTAAAAAATTTAAAATGTAACGAGATACATCGTCACCAATAATAGGCCAAAATTTTTGGAAAAAACAAAGGAGGCATACCATCCGGCCCTGGAGATTTGGTGGGGTGCATTTGGTTTAAAGCTTTCCTGATTTCAAGTGTTGTATATGGTTGTTCTAGTCTCCGGTTTTGGTCTCTCGACACCTTTGGCCGTATTCAGGATAAGGCAAAATGAAGGTCATCTGTTGGTAGTGAATTGGCAGTGAAGAGTTCACCAAAGTGGTTGACAATTATGCTTTCCAAATCGCTCTCTTTTGTACACCAAATTCCCTGGTTGTTCTCCAAGCCTTTAATCTCATTAACCTCCTTTCTCTTAGTGGCATAGGCGTGAAAATACTTTGTATTCCGATCTCCTTCCTTGTGCCAGTGTAATTTCGCCCTTTGACGCCACTTATCATCCTCCTCAGTTAAGAGTGTTTCCAGGATCAACTTTTTTTCTATCAAGCTTTCGTGACATTGATCATTTATGCCATTTTGTAGTTTCTCTATTTCTTCTCGGAGACTTTCAATTGCTTTCCTGTTAACCCTGGGGTATTGCTTGTCCCAATTCACTAGGCCAATCGCACAGTTACTGATTTTGTCCAACAGGTTAACGTTATCTCCGTTCCACGATTCTTTGATGGGTTCTTCAATGTCTGTCCATCTGATCCAGCGTGATTCAAAACGGAATCTGTTTTTCCTTCTTTTTTTGCTCTGGTTCGTAGCAAGATCTAGAGAAACAAGAATGGGTAAGTGGTCAGAAAGATGACTGAATAGATGGTAGACTTTTGTACCCGGAAACTTCCTCCTCCAGAGTTCATTTGAACAGGCACGGTCCAGACGGGCTTTGACTGTATCCGGATGTTTTCTATTTCTAAACCAAGTGTACGTCTTCCCTTCGTAATTCAGGTCATCCAACTAGCAGGAGTCAAGAGCCTCTCTAAAAGCAGTAAGTTGCCAATCCGCCCTTAATCTTCAGCTGAAGCTTTCACTGTGATTCAGTATTTCATTGAAGTCACCTAAACATAACTAAGGAATGCTAGTGCTTGCACCGAGATTTTTGAATTGGTTCCATGCTGAACGGCGAAGTGATGTATCCGGTTCACCATAATAGCGAGTAAGACGATAAAGTTTGAGAGGATCAGCAGGGTATACAAGAGCATCAATGTATCTTGAACAGAAATCTTTTATTATGACTGGCACGTCTTTATTCCAAAGTAAACCTAAACCTCCTGATTTACCTATAGAATCTACACAGAAACCTAGTATGCGCAAGGAGCGCTTTGTCTTATTCAATTGAAATGTAGAACACTTAGTTTCACATAAGAAAATAACAGAGGGATTATTCCTACAAACTAATTCTCGAATCTCTCTAACTGCTCGAGGATTCCCAGGTCCCCGGCAGTTCCAAGCTATAATACTCATTTGTGTCGGCAGGACTGATTCTTGTCGATCTCCGCCACTACTTCCTTCTTCTTCTCTGCTTGGGTGGTTTTCAGAGGTGTGGCATTTGGAGTGGACGATTGAGGGGGATTTGGTTGAGTAGAGGGTTTGAGTTTTTTCGGGGTGGGGAGGAGAGGCGGTTGGTTTTCTTTTGAGATTGGTTCATTCGGGTTGAAGGGCTTGCGTTTGGGTAGGGGGGAAGTAGAGTTACCTTGTGACATTCTGTTTGAAGGGTTTTGGCTGTTGGGGGTGCGCCTATTATCTTTGAGTGTGCTTCTGGTTGTATTGGATCGAGTTCTTTTCAGAGGTGAGTTCGTATTATTCGGTTTGGGCGATGGGATAATAGATTTGCTTTTTTCTTTTGGGGCTGGGCGGTTTGGGGTAACACACACTGGAATTGGATTAGTTGAAGTCGGAGTAATAGTTTGAGGGATTGGGTCGTCAGGCTGAGCTGTTTTGTTAGGTTTTGGGTATACTGATTTTGGTGTGGTAATATGGATCATTGGGTAATTGGATATCAGATATTACAGAGTTATTTGGAGGGGGATAAACCAAAATGGCTGGGGTTGAATCAATCAATATATTTTCAGAACTGTTGATGTCAATTGGGGGTTTAAGAGGGAGCATGATTGGATTTTGGTTGGGTTTACCCTGGATAGGATTTGAAGTGGTTGGGATTTGGATAGTTAGGTTGGATTGCTTTGTAGGATCTGGGCGGATCTGGGGGGATTCTGTTTGGGAATGGATTCCGATTGTGGTGGAGTTAGGGTGTTGGTTGGGAGATTCTAGTTGGAATTTTGCTTCGGCGGCTGATCTGAGTCGGCCGGACGCCGGCGATTTCTTCCTGTTGCTTTCATACATCAACCATGCTCCCCACGTGTCTTCTGCGTTCAATGCTATTCCTTTCAACAGCCTGTCATCACATTCTTTCTTAAGATGGCCAATTTTCTCGCAGAAGAAACACATTATTGGAAGTTTCTCGTACTGGAAGTACAGCGTGAGGGGCTCATCGTTGACATCAACTTCTAGCATCCTGGGAATCGGCTTGGTGATGTCAACCAGAACCTTAACTCGTATAGAGATACCCCAGCAATTCCCTTGTGCGTTTGTCTGAACATCCATGAAGGAGCCAATCTTATTTGCAACGAATTCAGCCGTTGAATGAGTCATAAGGCCTGCCGACACATTGAAAACGTGTACCCAGAGCGGCGAATTGGTGAAACGGAGTTTGTTGAAAGAAATATCCCCTTTGTAGTCCACAATTACCAGCAAATTTTCGTACAAGGTCCAAGGGGCACCTTCCAAGACTCTCATTTCGTCAGAAAGCAGATTGAATGAAAGAAGAAATTGATTCTTACCGATTAACTCAGCCTCAACAGTTTCCTTGCAGTGCCATGTCTTAATCATGTTGGTGAGAAGAGCATCACAGCTGTAATCCTGGCTACCAAGGACTTTGGTGACCAAACAAGTAACACCCTGAACTGCCAATTCGATAGCATCTGACGAGGCAACTAGTTTAACAGGGGGGATCTGTTTTTCAGTAAGGGTTCTGTTATTTTTCAAAGAGAGTTTGGAATACAAGGCTGCCAATTCATCTGCCATGACTGGAGGGGAGAAAGGAGGAGAGGACAGGCCAAAAGCTGATAATCGAGAGATCCAAGAGAAATGAACAACCTGCAGTATTCCACAAGGCTCTAGACCGTTCCGTCCCATGTCCGTCTACGAAAATAGCCTGTTTCCGCAGCAAACCACCCGAATTCATGGTGAAGAAAAACTGTCCGTGACACATTGATGGAAATAGAAGGCATTGGAAAAAAGGGGTAAAATTGTCCAAAACGAACTGTAAGTGAGTAATTTCTGAACTGCAAAAAGTAACACCCAAAGTTGAAACCCCAATTTTAAAACGTTATAAAAGTTTAGGACTATATTTCCTCTTAAAGATAATACTGGGGTACCAAAAAGACAAATGTTTTCTGGTAACGTACTAACGTTTGCCTGAAACAAGAAGAAGAAAATACATAAATGAAGAGAGGGCGAGAAAAGCAAAAGAAAAAAAAAGAATAGGAAAAACAGTGGGAAAAAAGGACGACAATGAACGGACCATCTTCTTCATCTTCGTCGGCTCTGACGTCTTGGTTGGCTCCGATGCTGGCCGGAAAGTCTGACGCCGACATAGTAGAGTTACTTGACCGGATGCTGACTCGGTTGGCGCTTTGCGACGATTCAAAACTCCAAGACTTGCTGTCCAAGCTTCTTCCGCTCTCCATTGCTTCTCTCTCTTCGGAATCTCAATCCGTCAGAAACAAAGTACTTCAAATGAATGCTTAAGTTTAATTAAACTCTTTAGTTGTTCTCATGACGAATTTCAGTTTTTATTTGGCAAATTTATTTAATTGTGAATGATACACGGTCGATTATGCGTGTTTGTTGAAGTTTGGCTTTGATGATACTGTTGAACACTGAACTTTGATGTTGTTGTTATATCTTATGACTGTTTTATGGTTAATGGAAAGTGTAATTATGTGATTTCGATTAAAATTTTATTGAGGTGAAGGATTAAGGGTTTTGAACTTAAATCTTAGAAATGCTGCTAAGGGATATAATCAGGATAATTAGGGATGATCCACGTAGTTGTTGATTCAGGTGCATGTTCTATCTTAGGTTGTTGACATGCCAAGTGTGGATGATTTTGTGAATTGTTTCTTGAGCTTTTGAAGATGAAATTTGTGGTTATGTAAAGCTACTCAACGTTGTTGGGATGATGATTTACATAGTTGTTGATTGATGGTAACATATTTTTTGCATATTGTGAATGTGGATTCGGTTGGTCTGTTTTTGATAAATGTACTTATTTTGCATTAGGTTCTTGAGATTCTAAGCCATGTGAACAAAAGGGTAAAGCATCAAACAGAAATTGGACTGCCTTTAGCAGTGTTGTGGGAATTGTATATGGAATCTGTTTCTGCTTCGATGGTGAGGAACTTCTGTGTTGTTTATATTGACATGGCAATTGATCGTGCTTCGAAAGAGGTAAGAATCTGTAATGCTGGAAAAGAAAGTGATTTTCTTCTATTGTTAATTCACCTAGTAAAAGAAGAAAAAGATTTTCTTCTATAGATAACAATAGACTGACTGACTTTAGTGGTTCATTTCCTTTTTTTCCCAGGATAAAGAAAGTGTAGTTCCTGCTATGCTTTCTGTTATTTCGAAGCTTCCTTCGCAGCATCAGGAAATATTGTTGAGGATATCTACGAAGGTCTTGTTCAATTTTTCTTGTTCTTTTTTTTTTTTTTTAATAATAGTGTTTCTTGTCTCTTTTTTTTTCCCCCCAATTGTGGAGGTGCACAAGTACCAACACCAGAAAGAATGACAAAGGATGTGGAACATGTACTAGGATCCGATTTAAATATTCTGCAAATTTACTGAATATGTTCTTTGTTACTGATTTATGCGGCACCTGTGTACATGTGAGATAGAGAAATGGCATGTGTTTGACCACTAATTGACAGAGATGAGGTCTTTATAACCTAATGTAGATGGTTCTGTGTGTTTTTTATAGGAAACATTATAGGCGACTCGAGTCCTGCTCCTAGAAACTATAATACTGGAATTCTAATGTTAGGTCCTTTAAATGAAGAGCACGAAGTTTTTTCCTCTACCCCTTTAACTTGGGATAATGCATACCTGTGCCTTATATAGTAATATCTATTTGTTGACTAGCCAAACCTTTTTCCTTGTAACATATTCTTTCTTTGCTTTTCCTCATTCCAAATTGCTTCCTTGCTGCTTTTGTTAGTACCTCGTTGAGCTGGGAATCCATTTCTACATTTTGTTGACACTAAGTTACTGTTTTTTGTTTTTTGTTTTTTGTTGCACGTTGCTTCGTAACACGTGATTAAGGCTACAGGAAGTTTTGTTTGTGGCAAGTTTATTTTGTTTACTTGTTCTCAGCTTGCATGAGTTTAATTTTCTTATTTCAGGTGATTGGCGAATGCTATTCAACTCAAATCAATGATATAATTGCCCAAATGTATAAACAAATTGGTGCTTCACCGGATAGGGATATATTTCTTGACTTTTGTCTACACACACTTTTCTATCAGTCGTCTCAGAGGTTAGTGATAATGCTTGTTTGCATTTTGGATGCCTATTCAGGATAGTTGAACGAGCTGCTATTGATTAACAACTTTTATTCACTTGCAGTGGAGGATCCCCACCTGGACTATCAATTATTCTGCGAGATCGTGTTAGTGGTAAAAAGACATTGACTAGTGATATTCTCCAGAATCGGAAGGTGAGACTGTTGTGGAGGCCTATGCTATATGGGTATTTATGGGAGTACCAGTAATCTTTTAATTTAGGTGTTCATGCATTATTGTTATTCAGCATAACTTCTTCTTCTTATCTTTCCTTATTTTTAATTATTTATTTATATATTTTTTTTGGCTCAGTTGGCCATCTTAAACGTTCTTGAGGCTATGGAGCTGCCTACTGAACTTGTTTATCCTCTCTATGTTGCTGCGAGCGCGGACAGGTATTCATTTGTTTTTTGTACACCAGAATTTAATTAGTCTACTTGTGTGAATGAGTTTTTTGCTTCCCTCTACTCATATCCAAAATCACATTGAGTCTTTTGGTGTTCATCGTTCAAGTCAGGAATCAGTGTCTAGGAGGGGCGATGAGCTCTTGAAGAAGAAAGCAAGTGGAGCTAGCTTAGAGGATACTAAGCTGATCAACAAATTGTTCTTCCTGTTCAATGGTACAACATGTTTTCTATTAAGTACCTTATTCTATTTCTTGATGTGGGACAATGATTTTGTGTTTTACATAAGTCATGTTTCTAATATTTAATTTTTTATTTTTGCTAAAGGAATGTCCCAAGGAACCTAAGATTTTCTGGATTATTTTCACGTCGTTGACAAGTTTGAACATTTGCTAGCCTGCTGAGAGCAAGTTTTTGAATTTACCAGTGTGCCTGTAAACTGTATTATTCCGCTTAATTGATGTGTTATAAGGGGCAATTGCTATACAATGTAATGCGCGCTTTAACTATGAATCGGTTAAAGATAAAGAAATAAGGACAATGACCTCTTACAAGAGGGATACATAAATTATGGAGTTGGGCAACCTAGTTTCCTGGGTAATGAAGGTAGTGTGAAAAGGATTGTCTTCAAATCTTGGGTTTAATTTTCCGTGGAAGGGTAAGAAATTGAAACTTGGGTCAGATTTTTGTTATGGTTGGCAATGCTTTTTAGATTTATTTTTGCTGTTCCCAGGAAAAAGGGATTTCATTTGGGAGATGAGATATACTTGTTTTATTTGGGTAGAATATTTCACAAGTATGAGCTAGAAGCTCTCATGCCTTTCATGGGAATAAGCTGAATAAGTGTTTGTATATCTTTTTTTGAGTGTTCTTCCAATTTGAAGAGTTGAAATTCTTATCATTTGCTACTTTGTGAAGCTTGTAATTATTGCATTTGTTTCTAATAATTTCTTGATGTAGAATTCTCATATTTTCCCGTAGAAATGTTTTATTTTCTTAAATGCTCAGCTTTTTTGTTCTCTGATGTCCTTGCTCTTTAAATTTTTTTCTCAACTTATATGTGCTTCTCTGTTCTGGCCTTCGTCGAGAAGGTGAGGGTGATTGAGAAGTCTCTTTCAACTGTTATGAGAGTCCTTGTCTTTAGTTGAAGATCTTTATCGCTGTGGATATCAGAGGGTTTGGCATGACTTAGTGTTAGTAAGCTGCTCTCCTAAGGATCTGGTTAGTCTTCACCTTTGGGAATGAGGAATATGCATTTTGTTATGAGTGTCCTTGTCTGTAGTTGAAGCTCTTTATCTCTGTGGATATTGGAGGGTTTGGCATGACTTAGTGTTAGTAAGCTGCTTTCCTATGGATCTGGTTGGTCTTCACCTTTGGGGTGAGGAATATGCATCGAAAGAGTTTTGCAGTGCCTCAATTGAGTTGTCTTTCCTTCCCGAAGAAGACTGAATTTTTGAGATGATGTTTTTTCACTTACCCCTTTAAAAGGTGTTTCACTTCTTCATTTTCCCCCTTTAAATACTCTTTTGCTTTCTCTATTTGGTCTTCCATTCAAATACCACTTATGTGCAGGGTTGTTTATGTGGTCTGAGGGACCTGAGTCGCTTACATGATTCTTGAGGATCCATATATCCAGCTTCACATAGTGGAATCAAGGGTCGTTATTATTGTTATTATTAAAGTGGGATAGATGGGTTCAAGAAATAGAGCAGCCTATCCAGGGATCTGTGGATGTCCATATCTAGTCTTGCTTAGACTGTTGATTCAGAAATTGTTTGTTTGCAAGATGCTAGTGTGGATGTGTACTTTTCAATCAATATTTGCCTTACTATGTGTTGACATATTTTCTAAGTAACTTCCGTGTGGGACTATCTGCACTTGGGGCTCTCTTTGCAATCATTTGTTGATGTATTCTTTTTGTTAACTTAAAACCCTTGCTTCGGGGTTTTTTAATGTATTCTCTGTGTTATATTGTACTCAATGTTTTAGTCATTTGCTTAATATGTAGGCAATACTGGAGCAGATCAGATTCCACAAGAATCTAGAATTAATCCTGGGAGTTTGGCTTTGAGAGTGAGGCTGATGTCTATCTTTTGTCGATCAATTGTGGCTGCGAACAGTTTTCCATCAACTTTGCAGTGCATCTTTGGTTGTATTTATGGTATATTACTATTATTACTGAAATTCTTCTTTCCCTCTTTTTTCTTATTGGTTCTTTAGGTTTATGCTTTTATCCTTTGTGGGAAGAGGAGTGGGGGAGTTCCAACTTACTGTATTTACAATTTCTGCAGGATCTTTCTCCATATGAATGCTTTTAGCATCATTACTATGACTGGCGTATGTCAATATTCTATGCACTTCTGCTTTATTAATAGAATGATTTTGGATAAATTAAGCCTCAATCGATTGCGTGTTTCGGATGTTCAAATTCCTTTAAATTTCCCTGTTTTTGTTTGATCTCTTTGAGAATAATCTAATGTGAAGTTACAAGCAAGTTAGACTGTGAAGGATGGAATGCCAATTTAAGGGAAATATGCTATTCTAATATTAAACTAGTAAGGACATGCTCCATAATATTATTGGTAATTGATTTGAACATGCTTTCCAACTTAATATTCTAGCAGCAAATGAGTACCTCAAAATCTTCGTGATATTCAGATCAGTGAGTTTATTTTTCATAGTCATTAGTTTTTAAAAGTTGTCGTTTGTTAGCCCTATCAATATTCAACTCTATATTATTATTGAATAAAAACAGAACACTTATTGCTCAAGTCTCAGATTGGATCCATCTAATTTTTCTGTTCTAAAATTTCCTCTTGTGGATGATATAATTCCTGGTCTTGAGATTATTCAACTGTGCCATGGATCGAGTTTGGGAAAGTAATACCAACACTTCTGCTATTTGATTTAACTTGTGAGTCGTGTAAACAGTGTAGAAACAGGTAGCATCCTTGCTATGCATGTTTACTCTGGAGAGGTTTAGACTATGTAGATATGGGCAACTTCATTCATCATTACTGTATTTCTTTAATGTTAGTTTGTTGCTTTTTGACTTTAGCCTTGAACTCGTATCTCTAAACTTGATTTGGACCTCCTCCCAGTGACTGATGCAATGCCTTTTCGGATAGTTATTATCATACAGTATGTTTAATCGCAGCACTTTTCCGTCTTTCTCTGTGCACCATACAGCTGCATCTGTAAACTTCTCCTATGCACACCAGGAAATCGCTTGTCTATCTCTTTTTATCATCTATGATGATCATGGTTATGTTAGAACCAAATAAATCCTGTCAAACTGCAGTGTTCTACTAATTGGTTTGGTTGTTCACAAGGGTTAAATTTTCGAAATAAAGAACTCCTATCTTTTTATCCGGATGGATTATTGTAGCAAATTGTTCTGCGGTGGTGATTTCGCCTGGAGCCTGAAGGCACTTGTTTGTATTCTTATAATAACAACCGTTTTTTCACAATCGTAAACAACTGCACAATAGCTAAAATTCTTTCTGTACGAGTGGTTTTCTGTCTATCTGTACTCAATTGATCTTATGTTCTTGCTCTCAGCCTCAAGTTTCTTCGACAAAGTTAATTCGAAATAGAAAAGTGAACTGCTGTTTGGGTGGGAGGGTTGGATGGGGTGGTTAGGGGATTAGGACAGGGATGGTTATTACCAGGAGGTCGAAGGTTCGATTCCCGCTGGGGCCATTCAATTTAATTAAAAAAAAAGGAGTAAGCTGCTGTGTTTCATTAGTAACATTGTCTTAGTCTCTGACAGAAAAGTTGCTTCATCATTTGGCCGAAATTTGATTAAAGCATATATATGTCTTGCATGTGAGAACTTTACATGGTTCTCATTTTAGTTCTTGTAGTGTGCCTGATTTGCTGGAGGATGTGGTTGATATTTTTTTCTCAACAGGAAGTGATGCCACAACAAGGCTGAAGCAGTTGGGGATGGAGTTCACTGTCTGGGTGTTCAAGCATGTAAGTGTTCTGTTGATTGTTAATCATTCAAATCTATTTGTTTGTGCTTATGCTGAAGTGCACAAAGAAATAGTTAAGGAAGCAGATTGGCTATTTGACAAATGAAGTGATATTCTTTGTTACTCATAATACCAAAAGATTGTTTTGTTTTCTTTCCTTGCTGGCAATCCCGCTGTTGGAATGAGGCCCATGATAAGAGTTGAAGTTCACTAACATGTATTGAGTCAAATGAAAGGTGTCAAATTAGCCTCATTACTTTTATTACTTTGATTCATTCCTAGGCTTTAATTCCCCGCGTCACTTTGTTGGAATTATTTACAGTGGCAACAGGTGAGGCAAAGGAACGGGTGAATGCCAAGTTAAAATCTTGGGGCTCTGCAATTGAATCAATGTGTTTTTGCTATGGTGTAGGTTTAAAATGGAATATTTGGAATATCTCTGTCGCCATTATGTAAATAATATGTCTATAAGCTACGACAGTCAATAACCGTTGAAGTCCAAAGGTAGGTTCTATAGTAATCCAGGGGAGCAGCAATGTTTTATGGATCACCATGTTGTTCTACTAGTTATGAAAACAAACAAACTATGAAGGCTGCTACAATTAGAATTTTAGATGGATGTAAGTGGCACAATAGATTAAATACGTTTGTTAATGCATGCATTAGAAAGATAAGAGTGGACCAATAGAGAAGACAAACGAGAAAATGATAATTAAAATAGATTAGACATGTATTGAGGAAAACTTCACATGCTCCTCTGGGATGAGTCGAAATAATAGAATCATTATGTCAAATTACAAGGTACAATTGACTCTATTCAAAAGTAAATGGGGCTGCCGAAAATAAAGTGGAAAGCACTTGGGGCAAGGATAGTTTTGTTTAAACTGTAAAGAACACATGTGATTGGACAGAGCACGATAGTGGCTTATAATTCATATAGAAGACCCGCGTAATGCGATAAAGACTTTGAGGTTTTCTGGTGATATGCTTTGGCGATGATTTTATTGTCATTTAATTGTAATCACAATATGGTTTGACAATTTTGTATTCGTCACGTTTCTTAATGCTTGTGCCTCTTTATTCAGTTAACTTTTCGTGAACGTAATACTCTTATTAGGAACAGTTATCCATCTCAGAGGCATTGCTCCTATAGAGAGAACATTTGTAACTGTTATTGCTCAGAGAAAGCCTTTAGAGCTTGTTTTGTCGCACGTGGTTAATTTCTTCTCCATCACTGTTTTTAAAATCAGTTATATATCTAAACAATTTTGTTGTTACATTCATTCACAAAATTAGTTGTAGGGCATTATGGGTTGTTTTGTAAGTCGTTCCATAAGGAGATGATAACAAAATCCTTTTTCTTTTTCACGAGAGATGAAGTTTTTTGGGTAGTGTCTGCAATAGTTGTCTTCAAGATTTGTCTATCTTGGTAAGAAGTAGCAGGTACAACACCAGGAATAACATTTCCAAAAGTCTTAGTTGTTGTGGTTATCTCATAGGTTAACTGCCATGTGGAGAGTTTAAAAATGGGACAATTAGAAGCATAAAGGATGCTCATCAGTGTCCTGTCAAAAAGAGAAATGGCAAAGAAAACTAATAGGTTATTGGATTGGCATAATGGTGAAGTAAGCTACATCTGTAGGGTACTCTTCTTCGACCTAGAACCACATTAAGGAACATCCGCCCGATCACGTTGAATGTGTGAGGTGACTCTCCTTTGACACTTTGAGTAAGAAATGAATTTAACACGTGCAGACTTTTTTGAATTTCAGTATCTCATCTAAGGCTCCTTGATATAAGTTATGGGTCCAATATAAAATACTGTTGTTCAAGGTTATCCTAGTAGGTATTAAAAGCTCAGCTTCAAATTCAGGTTAAAAGTGTTATTGGGATCTAAAATTTCATAGAATTGGAAGCTTATGGAGATCAATATCTGTATCTCTAACTCTGCACGGCCTCATTTTATGGCTTTTTCAATTGACTATGACTATGAACACAGGCTAAGCAGGATCAGTTAAATTTAATGGGCCCCATCATTCTCAATGGTATATTAAGCTCGCTCGATAGTTCTGCAACATCTGAGTCAGGTCTGCTGGTGTTCCATTAAAATTATGCAAAATTCTTTTTTATTTGAAAATATGCCTCTCTGGGATTAAAGACTTACTAGCTGATACCTTCCAGATGCCACTGTTAGGGATACAAAGAACTTCGCGTATCAAGCAATTGGGTTGCTCGCAAGACGAATGCCTCAACTTTTCAGGTATATCTATTTGTCCCAATGTTGTCCGCCTGCTTAGTTTCAAAGTCACCGATGTTGAACATGACCTGCTGTTTTCTGTCAGACATAAAATTGATATGGCTGTTCGACTGTTTGATGCTCTGAAAGCTGAGCCTCAGTTTTTGCGTTCGGTTATTCAAGATTCCACCAATTCACTTGCTCTGGCATACAAGGTAATAAAGTTTCTTGGTTCAAAAAAGCATTTAACTGTTGCTGTTTTACAATTTTTTTTTAATAAATGTTTTTGCAGTTGTTTTATTGTTTTTCTCATTTTCCTAGGGTGCATCCTCATCTGTTTTGACGGCGTTAGAGTCACTTCTTCTGAAAAATTCTCAAATGGTACACTATTTACAACCCTATTCCCACCTGCTTGGCGTTAAACGTTCAGATTCTCTGCAGCTGTGATATGAGGAGTGCTTTTTGTTTAGTTAATACCGTTTTTTATCTTGAAGGAACAAAGTGAAGTGCGATTTTGTGCTGTAAGATGGGCGACATCCTTATTTGACTTGCAGCACTGCCCCAGTCGGCTCATTTGTATGCTTGCTGCTGCAGATCCGAAATTAGACATAAGGTAGGTTGGCTGTTTTGCTTTTATAGTGACTGTTTGCGGCCACGGGGTACGCAATATATTTATGCTAGCTTGGGCCTCATGTGTAAGACTATATTGTTATCTGCCTGTTGAGAGTACTCAGTGGTATTTTAGTTACTAGCAAGCAGTTTTAACTCTTTCTCTTCCAAGTGACTAACCATTGTTCTTTCTGCTATTCATCCCAGTGGAGTTCTTTAGATGCTTGTTAGAAAAAATATTGTAATATGAGAGCTTCGCTTCAAAATATTGTAGTATGAGAGCTTCATTTCACATATAGAAGTGCTTTTTCTTGATGAGGCTGCTAAGGAATGAACACTTAACTTAAGCGGCCAAGAATGAGTTTGCGTGTTGATGAAATATCTAAAACTTTTCTCGTGTCTTGTCAATAATAGCTTCTATGCTGAAGTACCAAAACCTTGAACAACTGACAGTTATGTTTCTTTCTCAGACTTCTGGTTTCCTGTAATTTTTTCATGAGCTTGTCCTGTTTACTCTATGTGTCTAGCACATTCTGTCATGACGTTTCTGTTATCTTTCATGATTGAGTACTCTTCTGTGTTTCTAAACATTAGTGAGCACTCTGTTGTGTATCAGCTTCTTTGCGTCTTGGATCTTATTCTTTACTTTGTCTTCAGTTATTTCTTTGATGAAAAACTTTTGTCACCTTTGGCAATGGTAGTTCTGGGTTGTTTTCCAACTTGTAGTTTACATACAACTTTTGGTTTCCCTTGAATTGTAATCGTGAAGAAGCAGAGAAATAAAATTACCAGTTATTATATTTGTTATTTTCTTCAGACTACCGAAAATATTTTGTGCCCTAAGGCCAAGTTTACTAATGTTCCTTTTTTCTTTCTTCTCCCTTTGTCTTTGGCCAATGATGCCACTTCACTATAAAATTCTTTGTTTTCCTAGATATATTATGTGGGTTCTATCTAGGTTCATTGCTAGTACTTAACGGCATTATAAAGATCAATTATTTGGTAGAAGTTTTGCCATTCCATGATTGTACATGATGTTTGATTTTTATTCAGGGAAATGGCTGTGGAAGGTCTGTTTCCTGGTGAAGATCCAAGAAGGACTCTTAACAGTCAATCCAATTTGAAGTATCCGAAACTTGAGCAAATGCTGGACTGTATTTTGAATGAGCATCCAGCACTTGCAGTTTCCGACGGAAAACTACTTTTCCTTTCTGCCACATACGTAGCGATGATCAAATTTTTGCTGAAGTGCTTTGAGATTGATGTGAAGCAATATAAAACATTTGAATATTCAAAATTTTTGGAGTCGGTGGATAAGTTATGTATCCTCCTAGAGCATGCAATGGCACATGATGGATCTGTTGAGGTGCATGCTGATGCATCCAAAGCATTAATAACTCTTTCAAGCCATGTTCCACAGGTGCATTTGTGTTGGAATCTCACAAAGTGAAAATGTGAAAAGCTATTCATCCCATTATTTCATGACCTTCACCATATTCTTGGTTTTTTTATTTTGGTTTATGTCAATAGGTAGTTGCATCTCAGTTTGCTGCTAAGGTGTCATGGCTTAAGCAATTACTTGGTCATGTGGACTTCGGAACACGTGAATCTGTGGCGCAATTACTTGGCATTGCCTCCTCTGCTCTTCCAGTTTCTTCCTCTTCTCTTTTGATTAGCGAACTTATCGGCTCAATTAGTGGCTCATTGAAGTTAAGGTTGGATCTTCATGTCATAGATTTCAGGGCACTTAGTTCAAATACTGTGCTTTTATAGTCGATGATTCTTAATTATAAGTTGGTCTGTTCCATTTCTTAGGTTTGAAATGCAACATGGAGTGATTTGTGCTCTAGGTTATGTTACAGCAAACTGCTTGTTGAGAACCCCAACTGTAAGTCTAAACTCTGTTTGAAATTTTGGATGATGGTTTCTGCCTGTCTAGAATGGCTTCAAATTAGGCTATAAATGTGACTGTAGCTGTATTTATATAATCATAAATCGACACTTCTGGTAGTATTTTTCTAATTTTTGTTTTACGTTTTTTATATTAATAATTTATTGGGTGTGTTGTTTTTCTATTGTAGATTCATTTTGCCTTTTGTTATTATATTCTCTCTGCGGTAGTTGGCTGGAGGGTTTTGGGCAGTTAGCTTCTTTTGTATCCTTGTCTCATTCCAATAGAATTTGTTATGTTTACCTTCGAGTGAACAGTTCGTATAAAAGCTAACGGCTTAAGAAATAGTAAAATCACATGGTTGATGAAGCACACCAAGTTTTGTTAACACAGAATGGGTTAGTTATGCAAATACGCCTGACTGCCTTGCTTCTAATTTGATCCTAAATTAAGTGCTCTCTGGTGTAATCTTGCCTTCGGTGGAAGCTAGAGATAGAAGAAGTACTAAGTTGTTCCTTCAGAATATGCCAATTTATTCAGAATCTTGTTTTGGTAATTTATGGAAATTTATTCTGCCATATAGTTGTTCTATTTGGATTACGTATAAATAGGACTATATCAATGATAATGCACCAAAATAACTTTTAAGATTTTTATATGTAAATACTTTTATCCTTTCACCATAAGCTTTTGAAAAGTTAACATGTTCAATCCTGTTGTTTATCTGGAAAGTTTAAAGGGGACAAAACAGATCAAATAATAAACCATGACCACAAAATCACCTCAAAAAAAAAACGCCAAAATTTCAGCAAATTAGTTATCATACACTAAACTATCAATTCTTGAGCACAAAGTACTCTGGAAGTTCAATGAGTTCTTCCTAAAACAAGAAGTTCAATGAGGATTATAGTTAATAAAAAAGATTCTGTTGAAATAGTGTTTATAAGGCAAAACTTCATTGAATCTAACATGTTATACTTGGGTTGCAAACAAGTAGACTGACCAAATTTTACCTTGAAAAGATCATCACTCGGAAGACTAGAGTTCATTAGCTTAGCAGCTACATCTTTTACCTTCGCTTTGCAATAATTTGGAATTATATTAAATCTTCCACACATTTTGGTAATCAAAAGATTAAAAAGTGTAAGAGCTTGATGTTGACAACTTAAATACGTATTCATAATTTTAGATGATCATTAGAACCTCTGTATACATCCATTGCTCAACATGAACATGAACATCAACACAACCAACTAAGTTGGGCTCTGGGGGGTCAAGTGGGCCCAGTCTATACATCCATTGCTTGCTAGTGAAAATTTGCTGCTCATATGGATTGTGTCTTTGTGATGCTTGTTTTAGTAGAAAGTTTCAGTGTTTTCACTTTCTATTGCAACCTCAGGTTTGTTGTTTTTCTGTTCTATTTCTGATGACAGATATCGGAGTCCTTGCTTCAGACAGTTATTAAATGTTTAGTTGGTGTAGTCAATTCTGAAACTGCTACTTTAGCTTCTGCTGCTATGCAAGCTCTTGGGCATATTGGACTTTGCGTCGCACTTCCTCCTCTGGCTTCTGATACTGGTTCAGGTTGTATCTATGTTTCTTTCGAGTCCTAAAGAGGCTGAGCATGTATACATTTTGGTAAATACTGACAGCACATGTTCACCTCGAATTGCAGTTGATGTTTTGTCGCTCATGCATGAAACGTTGAAGAAGCTTCTTTCCCGTGACGACATTAAAGCTGTCCAGAGAACTGTTATCGCGTTGGGCCACATGTCTGTCAAGGAGTTGAATTCCTCAATTCTGAATGTAGTTCTTGATCTGATTTTCAGTCTTAGCCACTCTAAGGTGGGCAAATTACCTTAAAAAATTTCACTCACTTCTGCAATATCTTTGTTTATTAGTATTCTTTTCTTTAAACTGGCTTTCAAGGTTTCTGAGTTTGTCTAATTATCCATGGTTACAAGAAATTAGAAAGCTCTCTCTTCCCTCCCCATTTGATTCCTCTCGTCTTTGAGTAGGTTGAGGATATCTTGTTTGCTGCTGGAGAGGCGATTGCATTTACTTGGGGGAGTGTTCCTGTGACGACTGAGATGATTCTGAGGAGTAACTATTCTTCACTCTCGGCAGCTTCAAACTTCCTAATGGCTGATATATCATCATCTGTGTCTAGTTCTAAAAGAATGAATTCCGAAGTCAGTGAAGATTATCATGGTACAGTTAGAGATGCAATTACGAGAAAGCTGTTTGATGGACTTTTGTATAGCAACAGAAAAGATGAGCGATGTGCTGGAACTGTTTGGTTATTGTCACTAACAATGTACTGTGGGCACCACCCAATGATCCAGAAACTACTTCCAGAGATCCAGGTTTGTCCTTCTATTGTGAAGCGTAAAGCAGTCTTTGTGTCCAATTCCGAGCAGGTGTTATTAGCTTTTTCTCTTTGCAAATATAGTTTCTTTTCTAATGCTTGTTGTTTAGACTATTGACAATAGTGTGTTAGAATAATAATAGTTACTCTAATGTAGGAATGATTTTAGTTTCTTTGGTCCTTAAAACGCATTTCCAACATAAAATTTATTTGTCATTGTTGAATCATTTGATGCAGGTTGCAACTCTTCAATTTTTTAAGATGCAACTGCCCCTCTGAAATTGTCTCTATTGATACAGGAAGCATTTTCACATCTTCTTGGAGAACAGAATGAACTCACACAGGAACTGGCATCTCAGGGTCTTAGCATTGTATATGAACTTGGTGATGCTTCGATGAAAAATAATTTGGTGAATGCACTAGTTGGTACCTTAACTGGTTCTGGGAAGAGGAAGCGGGTGGTAAAAGTAAGGATTGCGTAGTTTTGTATTCTCTATGTGTAATTTGTATCCTCTTTCTTGCTGTTTATGTATTTACATTCACACAGCTGTTGGAAGATTCAGAAGTGTTTCAAGAGGGTGCATTTGGGGAAAGTCCTAGTGGAGGAAAATTGGGCACTTACAAGGAGCTCTGCAACTTAGCAAATGAGATGGGGCAGCCAGATTTGATATACAAATTTATGGATTTAGCCAATTACCAGGCTTCTCTGAATTCTAAAAGAGCTGCTGCTTTTGGATTTTCTAAGATAGCCAAATATGCTGGGGATGCTCTACAACCATACTTGCGTTCCTTGATTCCTAGGCTTGTTCGCTACCAGTATGATCCAGATAAAAATGTGCAGGTTGAGGAAATTTTGTTTTTGCTTGCTTGATGATATTTTTCCCAATTTTTTGGCTTCTCTCTCTCTCTCTCTCTCTCTCTCTTTCTCTCTTAATTTTTTAACGTTATACGTAGTATCTGTTAACAATTGAACTTCTGTACTGTAGGATGCTATGGTACACATTTGGAAGTCGCTGGTGGCTGATTCAAAGAAGACAATAGATGAGCACTTGGACCTCATTTTTGATGATCTTCTGATACAATGTGGCTCAAGGCTGTGGCGTTCTCGTGAAGCCTCTTGTCTTGCAATTGCAGATATCATCCAAGGCCGTAAATTCGAACAGGTCCTCAGATTAATGCATGAAACTTGATTTAAACTCTTTTAATATTCCACCTTTTCTTAAAAATATGTCTTAGCTTTCATATACAGTGAGGCATTGGAAATAATGGTTGCAATTACCTAAAACTGAGCATCAGTTTTCTAAATTTCATTCCTTCTTACGGTATCGTCAGTTGTATTTATGTGAATTTCGTATTACTACATTCACACTCTTGATAAGAAGGTTCATTTTGTTATTTTGAAGTTAAGCTGAGAATGCCATTCTTGTTACTTGGATGAGAGCTGAAAGTGATAGTTTCTTGTGATGCCTGAAAATCTGTGTTACATGAACACTTGAAGAGAATATCAGAGATTGAGCAAAGATCGAAGGATTAAGAAAATATGCTACTGGGTCCTGTTAAGTTAAATTCTTCTGCGACTTCATGCTCATTGTATGGAGTAAGAGGGTGGCGATGGCACTAAAGTCGTATTGTTCTAGTCTGATGGATCCACAAGTATTCTTGTTCCATATTTGGTGCAGAATATTATGAATAGAGAAATATCCACGATTATGAATTCTTTTTTACTGTCCCAACTTTCACCAGGATACAAACAAAAAAGAAATTAGGCTATTATCTAGAATACTTTTGTTAATTAAAATTTGTTATTTATGAACCAACCAATGCAACCATGATCCATATCTTGTTTTGTTGAAATATTTTCTTTGTCCTTCTCATTTTATCCATAGTCCTTTTGTGTGTAGGCTTTACTTGTTTCTATGAACATTGGGGTGTTCAGTCTTCCTCACTTTATACATTTGTGACATGATTTTATCTATTGAATTTTTTTGATTCGTAAGCATGCATATTTGGATTCATCCTGGGAAGCTACAAATGTGGATATGTTGTCTGAATCTCTCGTATTTTCTCTTGTGATCTTCCTCCAGAGATGATAAAGCTGAATTAATTTAGATTATGTATTTGGGCAAAAATCTAATCTATCTAGTCAATTGGCAGTAGGAGATCCAATTAACGTGGTTTAGGTTATGCAAAATGGTTTTATTCTTCGAATTGTGTGTGTGCTTTACTTAATTTTTAGATTATCAAATGCGTCGAGGGACAATGATCATACTCAATTGATTTTCTATAGTTTTAATTTTTCATATTGGACAATGGTCACACTGATGAATCAGTTCAAGACTTGAACATCAATTTTCCCTTACTCAATTCTTCACTAATTAACACATTGAAGAAAAGGTGAGTGGATGCAGATCATACTCTTTGCCAACTTGTAAAAGATAATTTATTCAAAGTGCATTCGCTTTCCTCCCCATTGTAGGTGAAGGATAAATAAACTCAGTGTTCTTCGTCTTTTTTCTTGTTTTACTCAATTATTTTCTCTGACATTTAAAATAACGTAGGACCATCTGGCTTCATCTCATACGGTTTATGTTGGATGTCTTTTCTGTACAAAATCAAGTTATGTTGCATTGGTTAATTCAGACACTTATTTTCTCTGTAGCGAAAATATGATTTATTGTTTGTTTACTATCAACATTCGGCCTTTCTCAAGACATCAGGGTCAATATAGTTTTAATATGTTGGCCTGCTATTTTATATATTTTAAATGGCACGGTTAATTCAGAGGCTTCCCTGTTTTTCACTTTTGTTTCAATGCATCCTCTGTATTCCTGAATTTAACTTAATTGGGGGGGTTCAATTCTCAGGTTGAGAAGCATTTGGGGAAAATATGGAAAGCAGCTTTCCGTGCCATGGATGACATAAAGGAGACTGTTCGTAATGCTGGTGATAGGTTGTGCCGTGCTGTCACTTCGTTAACAGTACGGCTATGTGACATTTCCCTAACACCAATGACGGAGGCCAGACAGTCAATGACCGTTGTACTGCCCATATTACTGACTGAAGGAATTATGAGTAAGGTTGAAACTATAAGGAAGGCGTCGATCGGAGTAGTCACAAAACTCGCAAAGGTGCAGAAACTGAAAATCTCGTGATGATATGTATCTTTATTCTTTGTACAAATAGTGAGTACCTCCCATGACCACTAAAAAAATAGGACAACCATTTGAGTACCTTCTTAGAGTTTTTTTGTAGATACTCGTGTTGAGGAATAGCTAATATAACTTATTTCTTCTTTGCCATTTGTGTTTATTTTGAGGTACACATATTGCACTTACATGTTGTATGTCATTGCTTTTCTTGAGGTTCCTCTGTTGATTAAATATTTTTAAAACTTGTGATATTCTCTTAGACTAGAATGAATGTAAGTCTATCATTTAATCATCCTTGTATCTTGTCATAATAGTTTAGGCTTAGGTGAAAATTAGGTGGCTGTAGTTGGGAGAATCTTAGCTTCTTAGTTCTTCCTTTCTTGCTTGTTCGGCTAATTAACTTAAGTTATTTAACTGGTTACCCTTCATAATCGGAAAACATAGTTTTGATGTGTGTTGGAGAGATAAATTTATTTTTGCTCATAATTTTCCTATTTTGATCTTCAAAATTATAGATTGGCGTAGAGAGTTTTTCTGAGTTTCAAAATGATTAGACTAGTCTGTTTTTTTCATAATTAACTCTTTTCGTGAAACCTTAGCCCCAAATCGAACTTCCTCCCTCCCAATTCATTAAGGACATTTGTTTTATCCAGGGACTAATCAAATGTGGGTAAAATGGTTGAAGTTGTCTCTGTGTAATTTTTCATTATTATGACTGATTAGTTAATGTTGTGTAAGTGTTAGTTGTTATTAGATTAATTATTTAGAGTATAAGGGTAAATTAGAGAATCTGTAGACTTAACTTCATCAATTAAGTGGGACTTAGACCTTTCAATAAGGAACTGAGGGAATGTTTATAGCTGAATGAGGTAATCCATCAGTGTAACATATTGTGAACTTATTTGAGCTCTTGTATTTCTAATGTTCCTCCAGTATGTTGACTGGTGTATTGTGTTCTTGTAGGGTTCGGGTGTTGCAATCGTTCCACATCTACCTGATCTGGTCTATTGTATGCTGGAGAGTCTTTCAAGCCTTGAAGATCAAGGTCTAAATTATGTTGAGGTTAGTTGCAGTATTATAGTTAAGGAGAAAATGATAAGTATGTCTCTGATGATTTTCATGATCACATAATTTATACAGTTTCAAGTATAGGTTCAAATTGTGTTTGAAGATTATCTGAGAATTAAGCAATCTCAAATTCAATCGCATCACTATTAATCAACTAAAGACATCTTCTGTTTCTCCGAATGAAGATTCACCCTCCATAAGTAACATTAACTTGGTATCACAAGAAGAAGTTGAGGTGCAGAGTTCATACAGCTATTAACTTGTAAGGTAATCCAATTTGCATCAATAAAGAGGTTTGGTCCTTTAATATGATTGTAGTAGATACATACTACAAAACAAGATAAGACGGCATGTGTCCTGAAGCAGAGAGCAAGAGTCATGGAAAATTGAAATTAAGTGTTGCTTGAAAGATTGATTGTGTCAAGTCATGGACAGCGGAAAGCTTCAGAAACCTTGCTCATGAAAATATCAATTTAAGAAGAGATGGTGATTTATGAGTCTTAATTGTATTATTTCATTTCAAAAAGTACAATCAAGTTTGAAAGAATCGTTGAAGTTCCCCTATCCTAGGTAGGAACCGTGCCAACTGATAAACATCTCTCTGAAACCTTCAAGCTGTTACTCTTCAATCATATATGATGAAGCAAAAAGCTAAATATATATTAGATTAAACAATAATTATAATAATAAATTTCTTGAATGACGAAATTACTATAGGAGTTTATCTAATGATTTTTAAGTGGCTATACGCTGCTGCAAGACTTGAGATTACTACATTGACTGATATCATGTTGAACTTGCTCATGGATAAGTTATAATTGGAAAAAGTGCATTAAACTAGAAAGGTATTTTAATGCCTCCGCTAGAATACTCTTTAAAGGGGAATATTACCTATATTCATATTTAATCTGAAAACTTCTCTAAGGGGGTATTTGTATTTGATAAAATGGTGCTCTTGACTTAATTATTGAAAACAAAACCCACTAACAAAGTTAACTGTAAACCATAAAGTTGTGATTGCTCTGGGTGGACCCAATTACGATGGTGTCACTCAAATTCAAAACCAACCAAGCTCGAGTCAAACTTGAATTGAGTTGAAATCTAGAGATCACAAATTTTGTGTTTCGTCTTGAGGCAATCCTGCCTTATAAAACCTGTCTATCCCATATCAAGCTTTGTTATCAAAACATCCCAAGTGTGTACTTTTTCCTCATCTGTAGTACTTTTCATCTATTCGTGCACTCGCGCTGAAGTTTTCATGTATGATTATACATTTGAAGGGAAAAATTTTGTCTTTATACTAATGCTTATAATTTTTTACAAGTTGAGGTGAATCAGGGAAAATTTTTGTCTTTATACTAATGCTTATAATTTTTTGACAAGTTGAGGTGAATCATGTATGAATTGATAAGAGTGGTAGAGAGTCCTCATAAATTCAGGGGTTTTCTCGTGTATTTTTATCTAATGCTTTCCACTGGCCTTTTAACTTGGGCTAACTTGCAGCCTTTATCGCATGTATAAAGTTCTGCCGCTCATAATTCAAAATCTGCCTATTTAATCCTAGTAATTGAAACATATCACCCGGGTATACTCATTTATTTTGCAGTAATCTTGATGCATTTGTCAATGTTTATATGTGTTTAGAATTTAGCTGCATGCTGGTTAGATTTCATCTGGTGATTCATTAGTTGTTATTGTACCTCTCCAGCTGCATGCTGCTAATGTGGGTATTCAAGCTGAAAAGCTGGATAACTTGCGGATTTCAATAGCCAAAAGTTCTCCCATGTGGGAAACTCTGGACTTCTGCATTGAGGTTGCAGATACACAGTCACTGGAGATGTTGGTGCCTCGTCTTGCCCAACTAGTTCGTTCTGGTGTTGGCTTAAATACAAGGTATGTCCTCCCTTAAAATGCTGGGTTCCAGAGACAACCCTGCTTCTCTTCTTAGTTGGAGGAGGATGGTGTCTTCTGGTCAACAGTTAGTGATTGTGATTGAGAGCTCCTAGGTTTAAGTTCGGATATTGAAAAGGAAAAGAATTCTTGATGCTCGCCTCTTTTGTTTCTCTTGCCCCTTCAATTATCAGTTCAAACTCTTTATTTTTGTCCAACGAAACTGTTGCAGGATTTTTTTTTTTCATGTCATCCTGAAACTTCAGTGCACAAGTTTTATTTGTGTTTTTCCGTTTCTAGAAAAATGTTTTGAGGTCCAAAATAGAGAGAATAGGTTCTCCCAAACTAATGCAAAAGTTTGAAGGGATACCGTGGTTTATATGTGATGTGTAGTAAATAAATTAGATTTCTACTTAATTTTCTTGCAAATTATGAAGTCACTGTAACTAATAGGAATGTTGGAATCTACGTTCTAGTGTTCCTTTGCATATAAAGCAAGGTTATGGTTTATATGTTTTTTGGGCAATTTTTTTGTGTTCAAGGGTTTTGACATTTGAGTCTATTATGGTTTTCACATGCAAATGTCTTGTACTGCTTTTGAAAGTTTCTATCCTATATTTTACAGAATAAGCTTCCTTACGTATTATGTCATCTTTAGGCATCCTTATACATGTGGACATTAAAAGTATTCGGTCATATCTATATCACTATATGAAATTAGTTAGGACCATTGTCAAACAAATCTACAAGAAGTTCACAGATGTGAAATATCATTATTTCCGTTAGAGTAGATTTCTTGATTCATGATTTCATTTTCTTGCAGTGTAATTGCAGTCTGGGTGTTATAATGTGGCACATGATTGAATCCGTGGCATGTTATTCATATTGATGTACATATGTGGATCTTCTTTCTTATGTATTAACATGATATTATCTCCTTGCTTTGCCGATGACCTAGAAGGCTGGCATTAATCTACCCAGTTTTTTCCTATTAAATTTCTTACTGTTCTTCTCACTAGCAAAATTTTGTGTTACTTCAAGAATTATGAGTTATCTGTCATTAAAATCTAGTTTAGGTGGTTGTGAATGATAATAGATGATGTTTTGTTGACACTTTCTTTTCCATCAATTTACAGGGTGGGTGTAGCAACTTTCATAAGCAAATTAGTGCAGAAAGTAGGTGTTGACATCAAACCTTTCACAAGCATGCTACTGAAGCTTTTGTTTCCAGTGGTTAAAGAGGAGAAAAGTACAGCGTCAAAAAGAGCATTTGCAAATGCTTGTGCAACAGTTTTAAAGTTTGCAGTTCCTTCTCAAGCACAGAAGTTAATAGAAGATACTGCAGCGCTGCATGCTGGTGACAGGAATGATCAAATCTCTGGGGCAATTTTGTTGAAGAGCTTTTCTTCTTTGGCCAATGATGTACTGGCTGGATACAGAATCATTGTTGTTCCTGTTGTTTTTGTATCAAGGTTAAGTCAAATTTCTCATTTCACTATGATATCCGAATGAATTATATGCCCTTTTCCCCTGTCCATAAATCATTTGCTTCTAAAAAAGTATCTTTTTATCTGTCCTGTTTAGAGAGTTTTAGCATCGTAGAGTGTTTTAAGCATGACTTCGATTAGATCAGCATTTGACCATGGATGCATATCTTGTTTGACATTCCCGCATTTTTCAACTATTTATTGGTCAAGGAACTGGGTGGAAGGGGACTAATTCAATGGAGGATGTTATCCTACATTATGATATAGTGGCAATGAGTGTTTAGGGGTTTTAGTTGAAGATACTGATATTTAGTTTTATTCTGATATACTCGGTAGCTTACTTTAATCGTTCACTGTTTAGTCCTTTACAATTGGCTAAATGATGTTTGTCAAAATGTGGTGAAAGCTTGACTTGGTTATATTTCATTGAGATTCTGCCTGGTGTTTTACGATTTTCAGATGCAACCTGTATCTTATATTGCTCAGGGATTCTACATCGAAATCATGTTGTTGAACTTGATTGTTTTTATAAATGAATTAATGCTAAGAGGTTGTTAAGAACTTTGGATCTGTTGGTTATCTGGTAGGCTGGCAATATATATAATCACATGATTATAATGTAGCTCTAGTTCTCTTGATTTTAACGTGTAACATTATTGCTTGACAGTATTAATTTTCTCATGCAGATTTGAAGATGACAAGACTGTTTCTAATTTGTTCGAAGAATTATGGGAAGAAAACATGGGTAGTGAACGGATCACACTACAACTGTACTTGGGAGAGGTTGTAAATTTGATAAATGAAGGGGTTACAGGATCATCGTGGGCTCAGAAGAAAAAGGTTTGTCTTTAGATAATACTTAGCAGTGGGTCCTTTTCTTTACTATAGGTATGGGCTTACAGAAATTTTTTTCGAACAGGCTTCTCAAGCTATAAGTAAACTCAGTGAAGTTCTGGGTGAATCACTCTCTGCACATCACCAGGTATTGCTGAGATCACTCATGAAGGAAGTCCCTGGCCGTCTATGGGAGGTAACAGCCTTTACATTTTTTTTTTCATGTATAAAACTGAAATTAAATAGCTTAGCTATTCTTGGATAGATTGGATCATTGGATAGACTTTGGTAAGGCTCTATGGTAGAGTTATCAAGCTAGGTTATATTGTTGAGGATCCTAATCCTTGCACTTGGGTTTTGAGTCTTTTGACAACTTATTATTTGATATAATTAACTACTCAAATGAGATACTCTGTGTAATCATTCATCTGACATCATAAAGTTTATAGTTGTTAAAAAGGTGTCAAAATCAGATACTCCGTGTAATCACTCATGACTTCGGTTGTTTTTCTTAAAAGCTATTCTGATGACCACGTTCTTTGTTTGAAACTAGAAGTATCCCCAAGTAGGGGAAGAATTAATTGGACTTGTAAGTTCTTAATTTTAAAAAATGGGTTTACATGACCTGCAGTTCTGTTTCATAAAATTATTAAGATTTTGAAAATGCGTATTATGGAGAACACCGAGAGCTAATGTTGTGAGCATTTGAAAAGACACGGGTGAGAGTAGTTTATAACTTTTATAAGCTTAAATTGAAATGAGCCATGATTAATCTTAAAAGCTTCTTGTGTAACTTCTTATATATCATCGAGTTTAAAAATCTAAAGTTGAAATCAAACATTTGTGAGTTTCATTGAGTTTGCAATTGGGACTAATCCTTGTTCTTGAGTAGTGCTGTATGATCCCCTGTGCAAGGAAAAATCTACTTTTGCCAGCAAAAGCTGCTCATTGATATTCACAGTTCTAGCAAATACTTGCTTAAGCTCTGTAATCTAGGAATTAGGTACACATGTAATTCTAAAACCAGAGTTAAGTATTTCGAGTCGGAATCTGTTCTGTTTAGGTGCAATCAAATCGACTCTTACATCCATCTCTTGAATGGTCTTGTTCTCTCAGTGAATATTATTGCTTTATGTTGTGGTGGTATGATATCTAGTTTTGCTTTTGGCGTGCTCCAGCGCGCTTTTAGCCCTTAATATGTAGTTTCTTTGTGGTTTGCTCTAAATTCTCCTTTCCACTCATGACATCTGCTTTCATTTTGTTCAGAATTATGTTTTGGAAATATTTATCATGAATTACTTTCCCTTTTTGGCCTGTGGTGGATCTTCTTCAGCTGTTCCTGACCAAATTTGGTTCCTAATTAATTTTTGTGAGCATGTATACTAGCTTCAACTTTGCATTGTTCCTTGACTGTAATATTTATCATCCTGTATTTTCAGGGAAAGGAAGTTATATTAAATGCTTTGTCTGCACTTTGTACCTCATGCCATAAAGCGATTGCAGCCATAGATCCCAGTGCAGTGGATTCCATTTTAAGTCTTGCATTAGCAGCTTGCACAAAAAAGGCTAAAAAGTACCGCGAGGCAGCTTTTTCTTGTCTTGAACAGGTAAAGTATACGTTTTAATCTTATTGCAGTAATCAGCCTTTTTCAAATTTGTAGTCTTCTTTGACATCGTGTGATAGTTTAAAAGTTTATTTTGCTACTGAATAGATTAGGGAATAAATCACTGTGAACACAGAATTAAGGCGTCTATCGATTGCAGTCCAAAGCTAAACAATATCTTGTTTTCATGTTTGTATTTATCTTGAAATTCATCCTTCCATGACTCCCATCTACATTCTTAGAAATAATATTTGATATTTTAAACTAACGAAATAACAATGAAAAAAGTGACTGTCCATAAAGGATACTGCATTCTCATAATTGAGTGTTGGGAGTAGTGTACTGATGTGGTTGCTTTGATTAGAGAGAAATATGGCTACCATTGAAGCCACAAGTATAGACATAACCAGTTGGCCGACCTAGCTTACAGTTTCCTTGGCAATGTGAGCAATCTTTTAAGAAAGAAACTCAGGATGCCTTAAACACGACTTTAGCATCTTTTACAGCCAGATAATTCATACTTTCCTGTCCGTATTTTGGGATTGGTACTGCAATGTTTCCTGTGATTGTACTTGAGTCCATAACTATTTATCAGGAAGATGGTGTAGTAAGACATCATTAAGGTTTTAGTTAGAAGTTTTTTTATAGATAGGAGTTGGTGGTATTTTACAAATTATCATCAGGATGGTTCTTTGTAAGTAAAGTTTTGTAGAGAGGAAGAGAAGGTGGGTTTGATCGTTATGAAGTCAGACTTGTTTCTTCCACTGGATAGAAATCTTCACCAAGATTGGATGGATTGTAAATTTATTTGTATTTTGGTCCCTAAAGTTCTGGCATCTAAAACAAACCAGATCCTATTTAATGCACAAACTCATATTTTGATTATTTTCGGTTTACACTTTTACATTTGCGGATTCAGAATTCAATGAAGAATTTTGACTGGAGATTGATTGTGTTTTCAGATTGTTATAGCATTCAATAACCCAGACTTCTTCAATGTGGTACTTCCATCCTTACTTGATATGTGTAACATTGACGCTCATATGAAGATGGATCAAACAACTCCTGCCACCAATGCAAAAGCAGGTACTTCATCTGCATTATATTCTCAAGCGAATTACTATGATCTATTCTGTCTGAAGCTGGTTTTTCTGAAACCAACCTAGTGATAAGGGGATTGTCAGAAACTGACATCTCATTTTCTGGGTTCTTTATTTTAATTTACTTAGTTATTATCTTTGTAAGTTGTGTTGCCTTTGCTTGATAGATAGCTCAACAGGCCGCATGATTGGTGGCTAATCTCTTTCAGGAAGTATTAGGTTAAAAAACTTAGGCTCTTTTTTTTTTTTTTTTGTGTCTCAACCACTGTAGTAGGCGTTCTGCTACTTGTTCCGAAGCTTGGTTCATCATTGTAGCTTAGCAGTTAAAGCATTAACTGGTTCTCTTGTACTAAAAATTAAATCCCAATCTGGACAAATCCTTTCGGGACAGAGGGAGTATATGCTTATTATTGAAGATTAATTAATGAGGTTGGCTCTATTATTACAAATCGTATCTTATCACATAACCAAGATTGTCATATTTACTCTACAATAATGAAATAGTCCATATTCAGCTTTACAAAGCTGCATTTGGTCCCTTAAATAGAGCTATGAATCCATGTAACCTTGATACTTCAGGACTTGTTTCCTGAACTGAAGCTGCTCACCTGTAGATTCAGAAACACATTCATGCTAGGATGAGTTTCTTTGTAACGTGTTTCACTGAAAACTGAAGGTTGCTTGTTAAGCCCGATAGTTATTTTGTTTTTGATCCCTATCGAGTATAGTTTAAAAGATAAACAACAGAAATGATGTGTTGGAAATTTAAAAAGTCAGAGTGAGTTGGGAATAGAAAAATAACTTTGCCTCTCATTTTCATTTTTTCGCGAAAACAAACTTTTTCCTTTTGGATTCAGACCATTGGACTTGCAGCCCCTGAATATCACCTTAGATCTTCTCTTTCTTCATCTTCAGAGAGAAGGAAATATCCTCGTTAGTTTCATCATGAACATGAATGTTAAGCCTTGCCTTGATCTTCTACTCTTGCATGGTGTATGACTTCAGATTCAACATCAGCATCCCACCTCCTCTGGTTCGAACATTCACATGCCATGTATCCTTTCTGTACTCATACCCCCATCTCTGTTAACCTTTCTTCAATCATAATTTTAAATTCTGCACTTTCATAGGTTTAGAAAACCTCCCAGCATAACAAGTTATTTTAGTGTCCCTTTTAGTGTTAAGCATCATTTAATGACACTGCTAATAACACATCCTTAGTTTGGAGAGCTGGGTGAAAATAATTATCATTTGAATAGATATTACTAAGTATTATCTGGCCCAGACTTCAGTTTTGGAAGTGTTCGGACTGCGATGGATTTTAATTCCTCAAACCTGTTTGTGCTCGACAATAGTTCCCTGGTAGTTGCTTCCGTACTCACTGCCATTCAGATATTAATAGAAGCTTTAAGTGATTGCTGATATATAAATTAGCATCATTCCTACTCTTATCTTATACTCATGCCGCTAAACAGTATTGCATACCTTAATGAACATTAGAAATAAAGACTAGAAATATGAAATCTTGAAAAATCTTCTCCAAAAAGAGCAATTTATTGAGATTCCATTGCAGCTAAAATGTGAGAATTACTGAAACACAACATATCTAAGTTCCTTCAGCAAGGCATTCAAGTTTCCACATCACTTTTTCTTTGATAGCATGCCACGTGACTCCTTGTAGCATCATCACTTGTTTGACTTCAGCAACCTTTACCACATGACTATTACTGCTCCGAGTGCTGGTGCAGATAAATATAGCTGTTCAATAACGACCTGGCAACTCTTTCATTCAGTTTTGGGCTACTTTGAAAAGTCCGTCAAACCAACCTTTACCACCTCCTCTGACTTATATCTATTAGCATAATAAATCACATTTTTGTTTTGTTTTGTTTTTTTTTTTTTTTCATTTTTTCCCTTTTAGTTTGAGGATGTTTTGTTTTGACTCTTCTCGCGTTGCAAACATTTGAATGGTGTCCTGAGTGGTGAATAATGCATTAAATCCTTTTGTCTTAAGTGGAGAATAAGAATGTGATGTTGCTCTTTTTGTGTATCTCTACGAAATCTATTTTGACCAAGAAATGGAAACTGGTTTTCGTGCAGACGAAGATGAGATGGATAATTTCTCTGTTTCCCATGGTAAAATTATTAGTTGCATGACATCGATCGTCCATGTGGCGCGAGTCAGTGATATGGTTGACCAGAGGACACAGTTGGTGGATGTACTTTTATTCTCTCTTGCCCCTGCTATTCAATGGACTGGTAACTAAATTTAGTATTACTGCCTTTTTAGTCAGTAATTATTGCTTATGTAATTATTACCTTGATGACAAGAACATATATCTGTGTTGCAGTGAAAATGTCGACCTTTTCATTATTAAAGGAGATCTCATCAAGACTTCGAGACATTCAATCCAACTTTCAAGATGCTTGTTTGCCTGCTAACAGAACTGTTTTTTTACTTGAGGTAATTTTGTAACATTTGCTTTTACCCTGATAAAATATTACAATATTAACTAACCTTCCGACTACCGGCAGCTATTTCAAAAGGTCACACCAAGAGTGCTGGAATGCATGCATAGTATTAAGATTGGCCAGGTATATTCATGCGTTCTCTTCGATTTAAGATTTTCAACTCGGGTTTTGATTCTCTGCTGGTTCTGTTTTAGTTTTTAGCTTGTTTGGTTTCCATCTACCTGATCACTTTGGCTGTTATGAAAAAGTATCTGTTCAGTGTTTGTCTTTTTCCTCCCAACATTTTATGTCCGCCCTAATTTAAAGACTCAGTATAGCAGTCTGAATAATTAGGTCTGCTTTACATGGGAATGAATATCATGTAGGCATATATACTCATGTACCATGGAAATAAGGCTGCAACAGTTCCTTTTTATGTACTTCGGGTTTATGTTGTGAATAGTTATACTGACATGATGATTCTCTTTGATTAGTCCCTTTGGGGTTTCTTTAAAAGAAAAAAAAAAGAAAAAAATTTAGAAATATTATATTCCAATCTTACCACTCATTCCATAACCTCCCTTGTGTTTCCGAGGCATATAATCAGGCTTAATGGAAGGAACATTGAGTGTAATAAAATCGGCCCATTTGACGAAAAACTTTTAGCCTTGTAAACCTCCATGTTCAAATGACTTGAAAAGAGATGATGCAGAATGTCAGGTTTTATCATCCTTTTGTGACACGTGGCTCTGTTTGGTTTGTTTTTTGGTTTGTTTTTTCAGAATTTTTAATAAATATTTGTCCTATCCCAGCATACCTTTTTACATTCTCAATGCACCTTTTTACATTTCCAATATACCTTTTTACATTCCTAATACAAAAAAACACACTCAAAAAACGATCCAAACATAATAATCTTTGGATTATGTCTCCTGTAAAAATCACTGTTAATTTTTTTGTCAGCTATCAAAAGTGAGGTGGCCTGCTTGATTGGTAACATTTGGTTTTGGTTTTTGTGTTTTTGCACAATTTCAAGGACCAAAGACATGTTTAATATGGTGCTTCCAAATACATTGTTTTACTGATCTCGGCCATGAAGTCTACAATTAAACTTCATTTATTGATCATTAGATATAATTCAGTTAAGATATTGTATGAAAGTATGATTTCTTCTAGTCTTTTGGGAATTGGAGACTTTTTGATTCTATCGGTTCAAAAGAAGATTTTTTGTCGATCTTCATTTTTCCTTTTTTACTTATCTCAATAACTCAAGCAAAATACGATCAAGTTCACGAAAAAAAAATGTATGTTATGCCTAATATCTTTAGCTTGATTTGTATCTGTCTTAATTCTAACCTTTATTCGCATAGTTTTTTCTTCGGAAAATTGCCGGAGGCCTATGCTTTTTTTTGAATCCAATTGTAGATGTTATGCCAGGCATAGGGATTTAATGAATTGACTTTTGGGTTGGGGATTATAGAGTGCTCACTGAGTTGCTTTGTCATTTCTTCCTTCAAGGGGAGTTTTATTTGAAAATAAGTCGTTACCACTGGCAATAGTTTTTGGATAAGCTTGTGTCAGTGATGGTAGAAGTTAAGGTCATGATGGCTTTGCTGACAATGGTGGTAGAGGGCTATGACTAACTGGTTTCTCAAAAGATATTGAATTTTTCTTTAGGTGGGCTTTTGTGAGTTTTTGATTTGCAGTTTGACAGTTCCATCTATTAAGTTAAAATATGATGCTTGAGTTGGACACGATATCTTGTAGGAAGTAGTGAATGAGTTTGAAAGAAGTTAGAATTTGAATTTGGCCATGTTTGGATTGTTGTTGGCGTTGTGTATTTTCTGGTTCAATATTTTTGTTTTTCTACTGATCCAGGTGTGTTTACTTGAATCCAGGTACACGTAGTTGCTACGGAATGCATTCTGGACATGTTGAATCTGTACAAAGATACTCAATCTGAGCGTCCGGAACTGGGTTTCAAGAATGAGCTGCTGCATCTGTTGGATATTGAGAAAAACGAAGAGGCAAAATCCTTATTGAGGAAATGCGTTGACATCCTTGAGAGTTTTGAAGAGAGCTAAACCCATAGTTAGGATTCAATGCAAAATATTCACCGTCAAGACTCTGTATATCAACATGTCAAAAGAAGTTTATGATCCCTTGGAGGAAGTTGGTTATCAGTAATTTTAGTTAAAATGACGATGGTTGATTTGATACTGAGAACTTGAAAGAAAAATTCAATTTATATGAAAAATAATTATTAATAACGAAAAAATATGCACATTGGATACTTTTTAAGGTTTCTGTTCTATTTATCTTGAAGATAATGACACTAGTCACACTACTATCCGTGATGAGAATCATGTAGTTTTTCATGAAGGTTCTCCTAGTGAGGGGAATGAGTTAGTCCTTCATTCTAGTATTGGAATGCCAAGTTTACTTTGCAGGCCAATCAAGGAAGAAAGAATGGATCTTGACTACCTATGTGATAGGAAGTTGGTTCAAGAGAGCTATGATCAAGGTGATGAGAATGTCATTAACTTTGCAGTTCAAACCAAAGGAGATGAAAACCTCATGGAAATAAGTGCTGAAGAGTATCAAGAGAGTTTGACTCTGTGTGCTCCATGAAGATCATTGATCAAGCTAGTGAGAAGAGTCATTTAGGTTCTTGAATAGACGACCTATTTGATCAAAGTGTTCAAGATTGAGTCCATTGCTACACAATTGGATAGGTTGCAAACTATCTTAATTGTTTCAAGTGTTTTTCCAATCTTTTGGAGTCAATAAAGAGAATTCTACAAGTTTTTGAGTAAATTGGAGTTTTCTACAACTCAAGGGGCGTAGGACCAATATTCCACTTTTGGAAAGGCGTTCAAGACATTTTACTTCAACAATTTGGAGCTGAATTTCGAGATTAGAGTTAGCCTAAGTCTAGGAGTCAATTTTCGAATTTTTATCTAGTTAAATAAGTCATATGGACGGAATTAAGCTAGAGTGTTTTGATTAGAAGTCTTAGATTCCTTCTAGATATTATCCTACTTGAGGATAAGTTATTTAGATAAGGTTTCCTAGATATTAGATAGAGTCAAAGAGATCAAGTACTCTTCTACTTTTACTCCTTTGGAGATAAGATTAGAGAGTCCTAATTGGTCTTCTTTTTAGTGGTGCTGGCCGAAAATTCTAAGCCTATATATAGGAGGTTTGGCCGAATTTCTTAAGCACCCTTGAGTGGTCATTTTTGTTGTCTCTTTTGAGAGTTTTTCCTGTGAGGAATTTTTATTAAATGGAGTGTCCATTTTTCGTGTCAAGTATGATTAAACCAAGAGGGTTTTCATCTTGTCTTAGATCTTTTTGATCTTGCAGAAACCGTTCTTTTTCAAGTATGCTTCTTGATAGAATTGTTTTAAAACAAAACTTCTTATTTTCATACTACTTCTAGTAGTTCGATTGATGAGCCTTTCCTTTGGCTTGGTGTTCGAATTTCATGATGAGTGTGTTCATGAGATCCATTGTGGGGTTTGTCCTACTTTTGTTGGATGAGTTGTGCTTTGGCATAAGCATTTTGAGATAGTGTATGTGTTGTATATCTTTGGTTGGTTATGAAGATTACTAATCAATAGTATTTCTTCATAGTTGGGCATTGTTTGCTCCTACCTTTCTTGAGTCTCTTGATAGATGACTGATCGAGTATATTGAATGGTGTCCTTGCTATTCTTAGCGTTGGTTGTTGTTTAATTCGAATCTTTCATGGATAATGTGTTCTTTGCTGGGTTTGAGTTAAGAGATAGAATCACTTAGATAAACGATCGTCTTACTGTGAATTTTCCGCACTCTTTTGAGTTTCAGGGGATAGACAAAATTATCTTCGTACCTTCTTGTTGACGGTTGCATTAACGAAATTTGCTTCGTCTACGAGATTGCTATCAATCCGGGATGCCAAATAATTAACTTTTATTTCATTCACTATGACATTTATACAATTTCTTTCATTTTTATTTTACTTCTGTTTAAAAAAATAATTCAAGTTTCCAAATTTTTGCTGGTTTTAAATAAAACTTTCGGATCATTTGTTTGTGATGAGTATTAGGAAAGATGGTAGTGCTGTAAGAAATAGAAGGTCACAGGATTTAAATGAGTTTGACGTGTATATATTCAAGTTATTCATCTGAAAGAGAACTCAATTCCTAGAATGGGAAAAAGAAATCCTCATTTCCTTTAAGAAAAATAGCCCAATTTCGTAAGAGATTGTCCACAAAATTATCCAATCTTATAAAAGTTGAAATTAATTTGATTAAAATGACTGTATATTTTAAAGTAAAACTTTTAATTCACGAGAGAGTTTAGGCCAATTATGCCAATGCCATGTTTTATTAAAGTGTAAAATAAAAGATGTAATTTAGTTATACCTTTCTTTGAGCTGTTTAAAGTTATAAAAATAAATGTATTTTGCAATATGAATTTTGTTTTCTGATACAAAAAAATAAAATAAAATAAATGTATTTTGCAATATGAATTATAATTTCATGTTTGGCGGCTGAATCTTTTTTTGCAAATCGGGTTATTGTTATATCTTACATTAACTAAACTAATGTTTATAGGTTCTCATTTAATGAAGTCTTTTCCTGGACCGTATTCTTTTTCTTTTTTTCCTTGACCGTATTCTATATGCCATGAAAATCATATTTCCTAGTTTGATAAACCGAACTATTTCCCTTTGACCTATCACTATCAAAGTTATTTATCCTAAAATTGAGATTGACTGTCGTATATCCTTTATTTTATTGGCAAAGTCCATTTGTTTTCTTAACCTTGACAAAGGAGGAGAACAAAAAAGAAAAAAGCGTACCTATTCCTATAACATTTTTTTTTCTTTCAAAACCGACGTTAAAAAGTGTCGTGTTTTTAATTTTTGGTACCGCAAGGAAAATAAAAAGGTGTTGTTTTTTCGGTGACGAACGAATTCCCTTTCTGTTTTCAAAGAAACCATTTCTGATACTCAACCCCATTGTTTATATTTCTGTGAAACCCTCAATAGTATTAATCCCTGATGTAAACATATAGTATAATCATATATAATCATAAGATGCCCATGCATGTTCCAGATCATAATGAATTTTTCAAGTGAACTAGCTTATCAAGGATGGCTTTATTGACTTCCGCTATATGATTGATGATATAAATGAATAAATTACAGAATGTTAATTATTGCAATTTGACAATGTTAATTATTGCATTTTGCCAATTTAGTGGTCTTCCCTTAACCTTTGACCTTTATATCCACATTGTTATAGTTTTTAAATGTAATATTTTCTCAGTTTCAAAAAAAAAAAAAAAGGTCTATATTACAAACTAGTTCACATTATAAATTGTAAAAGGAGGTGTTCAATTATTGTGATGTAATTATGAAGTTGAAAGGGTTGACTTGCATTATTGTACACTACTACGTCTGCATATTAATTAGCCATCAAGATCATTAATTTTCCAGAATACTAAAATACCTCAACTCCGTGAAGTCTAGGTTGTTCCTCCATATTTTAAAATATCTTTAATTCATGTTAGCTGCCCAAATTTTGCTTTCACTCACGTAAAATGCTTAAACTAAAATGATCAATAAATCATTCGTTATAGTTTAGTGTGTTCTTTTCTTGCGTTCATTTTCTTTTGTTTTATCCCCTTTCACAGCGTTAATATTCAAACAAACGAAGAAGTATCAAACGGGAGTTGAACACAAGAGCAAACTAGATCCCCAATTTGTTGTACTGGGCATTTGTCCAAAATAAGTTCTTTTGCCATAGACAGAAAGAGTGGTTTTTCATTTTTATTTTTGTTAATTTGTGTCCTAAATATTTACTTGGACGCTTTTTCATTTTTTTTTTCAGGGCTGCTGAAAGACATATTTTTAAGTGCAGAACATTTTATCTTTTTGATCTTTTTCAGCATCTCGTACAAAAATTCGCTTTTGTGGCCGGTGATTAAATTTGAACTTAAAAAGGACAAAAGAAACGGAAAGAATATGAGGACAAGACAACACAAAAGAAAATTTTCGTTCGAGCCAAAAGAAACATATTATCCTCAAATATTATGGCAAAACCGCAAAAGCAAATCGAAAATTGCAAGAGTTATTTTTAATCATAGTGTCGTTCGTGGTTTTCTCGGCAGGATATGTTAAATAGATCAGAATCCTTGGATGGAAGTAGCTCTCCTAAAAGAAGTATAGCCACTATTGAGTTTTGATGTTTTTTTGGGAAGGAAAAAGTAATATTTTAGTACAATAAAGAAGGCGAAAATCTAAAAACTATTACATGAAAACTATAGATTAATAGGGTTTCGCCCACACAAGTAAAATAAAACGTACAACTTGTTCTAAATAAACAGTCACAAAATCCAACCTTTTATGTACATATCGTAGTTTTCAAATCCAATTTTGCTCAATAAGTTTATGATACTCTCAATGATCCCTTCCTAAAATCACAAGACACCAGTCTGGCTGTGTGATATTTGTAGATCAAATAACACCACGATATATGGACAAGATTCTTGTTTTGTCGTAGAGAAAATTTGAAAATTTTTTTTCGAGCCAATCTCATGACTCTCCGAACTATTTTATTATGGGCAAACACTATATAGGCCAAAAAGAAAATTGAAAAATTCAAGATTTATATTTTGAATTTTGGACAGGAGGGAACAAATATAAATATTTTTATGATACAATAAATGAGCCAAAAAGGCTAAAATTCTAAACTAATACATGTGAGTCAAAACTCTAGATTAAATCGGATTTCACCCCTCACAAGTAAAATCAAACGTATAATATGTTCCAAATGAATAATCCCAAAGTCCGATTCTTCCTGTGCAAATCGTAATTTCCATATCCGATTCCTGCTCAATAGGTTTATGATATTCTTAATGATCTCTCCATAAAATCTCAACACACGATCCTGGTCGTGTTATATTCTTAGATCAAATTGACCTACGACATATGGACGAAATTCATGTTTAATTGTAGAGAAGACTCGAAAAAACTTTTCCGAGGCGACCCTGCTCCAAGCCAAAGAGGCAAAAGTAGCAAAGTTTGTTATTCCCTCTTATCCCAAAATATTTAAATTTCACATTTTAGTTTGTAATTTTTAGTAATTTAAATTGGAAAATAAATTTTTGTTTTCTTTCTATAGAGGAAGTTAGAGGTTTAGGTATTAAAGTCCCTATTCACGAAGGGAAACGGATAGCTTTTCCGAGACTAATAGATCTATAACACTAGATGAAAATGTTGACAAAATATGTCTGTTATTAGATATGAAAAACCAAATTTGGCTAAAACATCAACCACTCTATTTCAATGACGATGTACCTAACCTATGGTTACATGCAGGGGCGGAGCCAAGCCCCTTTCATATGATGGGGCAAAATTTTTCAAATTTCTAATCTAATATACTTGCCCCTAATATTTTCAATTCAGTTGGGGCAAAAATTGATTTTTTAAAAGAAAATTCTAAAATTTCAAAGGGTTAATAGCAAAAAAAAAATTTCCAGTTGGGGCAATTGCCTCACTTCCCTTGTATGTAGCTCCACCCCTGGTTACATGCCAACTGAATTGGAAAATAATTTCGGAACCCACGAAGTAATTTTCTACCCTGTATGACGATATGGCTGATTTTTTTTATATATTTATTTTTTATTGATGATAATCAAGCATCATGCTGATTATGCTGACGAGTCTAATTTTAAGAATTAATCAAGACTTTCTTTACTCGAGCAAAAAAAAAAAAAAGGAATCAAGACTTTCAAATATCGATCGACCGAAGGCTAGCAAATTTACGAGTAGGCTACTTATTTTGACATTCAAAGAAACAACTTATTTTCAGGATTTTGCCTCTTCATTCATTAGTTGACATTAGAAATGGTCACATTTCTGCGCCCACCTATTCACACACTTCACACTTCTTCTTACTATAAATATATACATACGGCATAATAAAAAACAAAGAGTCATTTGTAATTCCCAAAATCAAATCCAAACTTTGGCTACCCATAATTAGATCATACCTCAAGAATTGGAAATCATGGATAATTACTACTACACTTATATTTTCCTTTCCATTTTCTTCTTTTTAGCAACTGTATTATTTATCAAAGCGAGTTCTAAAACCCGGTTGAAACTGCCACCAGGTCCTCCTGCATGGCCGATCATCGGCAACTTATTCGGCTTGAACGCCGAAAAACCTCATATATGGCTGGCGAATCTCGCGCGAGAACACGGCCCGCTGTTCTCTCTGAGATTAGGGTTTAGGGTTTTGGTGATGGCGTCCTCCCCTGAAACTGCAAAGGAAGTGTTGAAAACCCGCGACCGGGATTTATCGGGGAGGTTCAAGTCGAGGCTGATCGGATCCCTCCCCGAGTTCCAAAGCTCCGTCATCGTTCTATCCACCGAATGCGGCGAGAAGTGGAGGTCTTTACGTAAGAATGCTCACGTTGAGCTCTTTTCACATGGAGCCCTAGAATCTCATACAAAGATTAGGGTTCAAAAGGCTCAAGAAATGATGGATTTCTTAGCTAAACAAGAAGGAGAAGTTGTGGAGATCGTGAACGTCGCGTACGCGACCGCAGTTAACATTTTGACTAACACTTTGATGTCGGAGGATCTTATTCGTTCTCTGGATTTTGCCGTTGGTGAAATGAAGAAGTTTTCAAGGATGCTTATTGGGTTTGTGATCCCCACCATAGCTGATTTGTACCCTTTGATTGGTGGTTTTTTAGATGGTGGATATACGAGAATAGTAGGGATGGAATATAAGGAAAAGAGCAAGGCACTTTGGGGTGATACAGTCAACAAGAGAAGAAGAAGAAGAAGAAAGACGCCAGAAAGCGATGATGCAGAATCTAAACAGGATTTCTTGGATTATCTGATCAATCATGGATTTGATGATGGTCTGATCTACAACGTTTTTAGTGTACGTTCTTTCTCCATTCTCACATTTATATATATATATATATCCTCTCCGTCCCATCATGTACTCCCTCTGTCTAAAAATTGTTATCCAGTTTGGATTTTAACTTTTGATTCAATTTGTACTAAAAATGAAAATCCAAACTAGATAATTTCGGGACGGAGAGAGTAATAATATAATATGCGAAGACTAATTAAAATTTTAACAAAAACATGAACGTAATTTACATTTATTCATCAAGTTCAGAGATTGATTCTAAAAGAGAATACTATTATTATTATTATATACTTCAACAGTCTCAACCGGGAAAAAAAAAAATTCTTTCTTTGACAAGTTACAATAGTAATATGATCATTTAAAACTATAAGATTTACAAAAAAGGAAAAAAATTACTTATGATTGTTCAGTTTGGATTTTCAATTTTATTTCAAATTGTACTGAAAATGAAAAAGTAAATTTGATAATTATTTTGAAACGGAATGAATATGTATTTGTTATTCATCATTACCCTTGATATACTCATTTTTGTGCAATGAATTAACCACACCTATTTACTAACTAACACGGACATATTGTTGGAAAGAATGTGTAAAAATAAGGTTGTTATATATATATTTTGGGATGGAATGAGCTCTTTGTAACTTCTTAAATAAAAGAGCAAACTGTGCTACATTTATCTCACTAATCGACACATATAAAAAATGCAGGAACTTTTCGTTACTGCGGATTCGGTTAGTACCACAATGGAATGGGCAATGGCAGAGTTAACAAGAAATCAAGAAGCCCTTTCAATGCTTCGGGATGAAGTCTCCAAAGCCATTGATGAAAATGGCAAAATCTTGAGTGAAAATCAAATTGCCAATCTACCATACTTACAAGCATGTATCAAAGAAACCCTAAGATTGCACCCTCCAAGTCCATTTCTTGTCCCTCATTGTGCATTGGAAAGCTGCAAAATTATGAATTACGACATCCCGAAAGACAGTTTGGTTGCGGTGAACATATATGCCATCGGACGAGATCCCAACACTTGGGAAGACCCTTTAAGTTTCAAACCAGAACGGTTTTTGGGCCAACATTTTGACCTCAAAGGAACACATTATGAACTTTTGCCATTTGGAGGAGGTAGGAGGATCTGTGCGGGAATTCCATTAGCTCTGAAAGAAATTCAGTTGCTTCTTGCTTTGCTAGTTTATGGATTTGATTGGGTTCTTCCTTTTGGGGAAGATCCAACCAAACTAGACATGAACGACAAGTTTAGTGTACCATTGGGAAGGGCAAAGCCTTTGATTTTGGTTTTAAAGAAAAGAAACCATCTCAAAATTGAATAGATTACTAATTCCCTTACGTCCAAAAAATAAGAGTTTTGTTATTTGTTATACTTAAAGAATCAATTGAATAAATTGGACTCTTATGTGATTTGAGAAAGAGTACAATACTTCCAAGTTCACATGTCGTTGCTTTTTTACATATATTATGCTACTTTTGTCCCCCAAAAAAAACACATTGAGTTTTGTGGTTTGTACTGAAACAAGGAGAGTACTCGAATACTTTCTATTTTGAAGAAAAAAGAAATAATTATGTAAGTCTATGGAATCCATTGTTATAAGTAGTTTTTTTTTACCCTCCTTGAGCAAAAACACTTTCACAAGCAATTATGATTTGTTACTACAATGATATTCATGTTCTTAATTAATATGAATCATGGCATCTCCATGTCTTTCCTGTTCATCAAACTATCTATCGATTAATTGTTTTTATTGTTTGAATATTAGTCATCAAAAAAATAACATGCACACACGAAATCTTTAATCGCTACAGCTTACTATATAGGCACTTTCACAGAGAGACACACACACACACATTAACCCGCATACAGATAAGGTTTAAAGTATAGGCTAAGCTGATTAAAAAAAAATGATGTTTTTTTTCCTTGATTTTGTATTGCACATGAGCGATGCCAGTAGATGAACAAGCCACCTTAATACCCAAAAAATACTTGACTGGACCAAGATCTTTGATGTGAAACTGACTATGAAGAAACTGCTTAAGCCTGCCAATCTTATGCGAGTCATTACCAGCAACGATTATATCATCAACATAAATCAAAACAACAAGAAAACCTGATCCATTACTGTAAGTGAACAAAGAGGAATCGGAATAAGACTCCTTGAACCCTGCAGAAACAAGGGATTGGGTAAATTTTCTGATACCAATTCTGAGAGGCTTGGCTCAAACCATATAGCGACTTCTGAAGGCAACAAACACGTTGCTCCCCCTATTTGGTAAAGCTATGAGGAATTTTCATGTAGACTTCTTCATGAAGATCACCATGTAAGAAAGCATTGGTAACATCCAATTGATGAAGCTGCCAATTACGGGCAGAGGCAACAGCCAATAGACAATGAATAGTGACCAACTTGGTGACAGGAGCAAAAGTCTCATGGAAATCCACCCCTCAACCTGGGTGTATCCTTTAGCAACAAGTCGGGGTTTATAACGTGCAACACTGCCATTAGGATTAAATTTAACCTTGTACACCCATTTCGAGTCAATGGCACGCTTGCCAGAGGGTAAAGGAACAAGAGTCCATGTGTTATTGGCCTCAAGGGCAGAGATCTCTGTGGCCATGGCATCTCTCCAATGTGCAAATTTAACTGCCTGAGAAAAACTAGTAGGCTCATCCACAGAAGAGATGGCCGACAACAAGGCATTATGAGCTTCAGAAAAGTGAGAATAGCACAAAGTCTGAGAGAGAGGATATACCGTTGAGTTGGCTAACAGAGAGGTATGAGAGGACGATGGATTAGTACTAGGTTGCAGAGAGGATGGCAAAGTATATTCATAGCCAGAGAGACGGTGAGAAACCTGTCGAGGCCGTTTGGAAGGCAAAACAATAGGTGCTGACGAAGTATTTGGCATAGGAGAAGTAGTGGAAGCATCTAGCGGAGGATCTGTTGAAGAATTAGGACTCACCGGAGGCAAATCAACATGTGGAGACAATGGAGGAAACGGATCAACAGCGGAATGAGTGAGATCCACCACATCAAAAGGAACTGTAGAAGGTTCCGATAATGATCTGGTGGTAGATGGAAAGATATTCTCAAAGAAAATGACATCCCTGGATGTATAGATGACCTTGCGCTCCAAGTCATAAATGCGGTACCCTTTCTGACCATGCACATAACCAACAAAAATGCCAGGATGACCTCTAGAGGCAAACTTATCTCGAAGTTTTTCGGAAGCATGAGCATAGCATAAACAACCAAAGCTACGTAAATGATCATAAGATGACTGATGACCAAACAGAACTTCATAAGGGGTTTTGTTTTGCAATACTGAAAGAGGCATGCGATTAATCAAATATGCTGCAGTAAGAACACATTCACCCCAAAAATTATATGGTAAACTAGCTTGGAAACCCAACGCCTGAGCCACCTCGAGAAGATGTCTATGCTTATGTTCCATAACACCATTCTGTTGAGGAGTATGAGGAAAACTAGTTTGTTTTCCATTCCATGATCAAAGAAATGAGTCAACAAAGAAGTATGATCAAATTCAAGACCATTATCTGTTCTGAACACTTTGATGGTGGTGTTAAATTGTGTATGCACCCAATTAAAAAACATCAATAGATAACGCTTAGTATCAGACTTGGAACGCATAAGAAAGACCGAAGTAGCCCTACTATAATCATCAACAACCGTGAGAAAATAATGAGCATCAGATTTGGAAGCAGTAGGATATGGACCCCAAATATCACAATGAACTAAATAAAAAATATTTTCACTCTTTGTTTGATGCAAAGGAAAAGGTAACCTAGTCTGTTTTGCTCTACAACATACATCGCAAACAGAATTATTTGTAGTAGTACTAAAGGAAACAGAAATGCTTGGAATCAAAAGAAAGCCTTGTAACTGGTAAGTCCCCTAGACGACGATGCCAAAGAGTTGCCGTATTCCCTTTGCTTACAGACAGAATCCGACATTCGCCACCAACCCTCAACGACTCAAGGTAGTACGACTCAGCAGCTGCAGCAGGGGTGGGCGCCGGATTGTTGCTGCCGCGGTTGACGCCAACCTGGAGGGTAGCCAATGAGTTCATAGCAGCTCTCCTTGTTGTGATTATCTCGGCCACAGTTGCTGCAATGGAGTTTGGGTTGTCCACTATCACAGGAATCTTTGGCAGCAGCAGCAAGCGATGATGAAGATTTGGCAGCCAAAGTCGTTGCTTCGATCACCGGCAGACGGGAGTCCGCAATGCGACGCTGCTTCTCATCATTGGCAACGGTTGCATAAGCACGACCAAGAGAGGGAAGGGGATCAAGGCTCAGAATCTGGGAATAAAATATACAAACGCATATATTTAAGCACAACATAGATTTTGTGTCTGTATCTTTTTAAGTTTCTTACTAATACTTACCATGTGTTGTACGACGGGTGTTTATCTATACTTCTTTGAAACATTTCAAAGATATTAATTACACAAAAAATTTAGATGTTGACTCAAACAAGTACTCAATAAAAATGGTGTTTATATGTTTATAAAATAGTATCTCTATAATCGAATTTCGAGTGTTGCATAAAACAGATAATAAGGAATGAAAAAAACACAGCTTGTGATCTTATTGATAAAAGGGGAAAAAAACAACGAATAAGTAATGTCTCTAGATATTATATATTTTCAAGAGTTTCTTTATAAACTACATTAGTCATGCAAGTGCAAAGTTCACAATCTTTGTTGCAAATAAGGGCTTGTTTGTTAAAAATTAGTGCTTAATTTTAAATGTTGAATATTGAATTAGAAATACTGAATGGATTAAGCAATTATGAATGCTTAAACACACAATTTGGAATGTATGAATCAAAATGCTTAATTAGTTCATTCTGTTTGTTAACTTGTTGCTCTTATTGCTGAAATACTGTAAATATATTTTATCCCTATATTATTTATTTGAACTTAAGACAAATTTCATTATTCATAATGGAAGATCAAATATTATTAATATTAAATACAAAATAAATTTACATAGTCAAGGGTTTCAATGAAAAATGACAAAAAAATTTAATTCATAATCGTATTTATTGAAATACATAAATAACAATTAATAAAGGGGAAAAAATTACAAACCATTTGCAATTTCTTCATGTAGATTTTACATATACATTTTGTCAGCTTGTGTGAACAAATTTTCTGCTTTGTGTCCTGATTGTTCAACACGTTCACCATTTGTTCAAATAACTTCATCATCTGCAAGCTGATTGAAATAGACTTCATTTCTTGAAACTCTCCGCAAACTTGTGTTGCAAACTTGTGTGGTGCCATTTTGGTGAGAATCACAAAACGATTTTTTAAAACTCCAAAAGCTCTTTCAATCACATTTCTTAATTTTGCATGTGCCTGACTGAATTTTTCTTCCTCTGTTCTTAGACGTCCACCAACTCGAAAATTAGATAACCAATCTCGTGTATTTCTTTAAGGTGTCATGAAACCACGAGTATGTACATACGCCGCATCACACAAGTAATAAGTATAAAGAAACAAATTTATATTAATGTAAGTTACGTAAAAATATATGTGCATGTGCATAAAAAAAAAGCAAATAAATTAATTACTATATAACCTGGCGGAAACATCAGAAAATTATTTGCAGGGTCTCTTAAAACTTCATTTAGAACTCTTGAATCATGCGTGGTGCCTTCCCATTCAGCTACCACGAATGTAAAAATCACATCAAAATCACAAATTGCTCGTACATTTTGAAAGTATTATCCTTGCCCTCTTCCTCGTTATGGAGTTTGCTCTTTTGGTGGTATATTTGCAGGTGCCAAAGTACCATCTAAGGCACCCATTGCACCATATTCAAACACCTATTATGAGTTTTTTGAAATGACAATTGTGAAAAAGTTTAAAAAAATAAGAGTAATAACACAATAAAATAAATGGTGATAGTTACCTTTTGTAAAAGTTGGAGTTTTTTTTTCTGTAAAAGTTGGAGTTGTCATTTACTTAAGTGTCTACATTCAAAATTTGGTATAATCGTCTTTGTTGAAAAATGTAGCATTGCTCGCAAAACTTCCTAGAAATGTATATGAATAGCATGAGTTGAATGCTAGTATCTCCTTTTCAAGGCACGATTCGAGCGGCGTTGGCTGGCAGTAGTTAAAAACATGGCAACCTTTGCTTCAACAGAAACATACCGAGTGTTTTCTAACCATCCTTTGGTTCGAAAATAATTGAACAAATCAAGGAATACTTCTTTTTCCGCATCCGAAGCATATCAATTGAATGAAACGGTTTCCTTGTAGAATTTCATTCACATACGCATCACCTTGTAATGAAGAGTCTGTATCAGGTTTTCGGCCGATACGTCTTTATTTCATTCTTTTAATGAGTTAAAGTTTTATAATAATTATAAATAATTGTTTTTGTTGCAGAGTTAACATCTTCAAAAACCAATAAAATAATAATATTAAATCAAATTCAATAATCATAAAAATCTAAAACAATATTCAAGTACTTAATGAAAAGGTTATAGGGACTGAATAAGTGAAAAATTTCTAAAACATCCAAAAAAGTCACAAAATTCCTAATTTCTTCCAGGTCATCTGTATCCATTTTTTGGTAAATTAGTAAATTTGTATTACTATCAATTGCATTATATACAAACCTATTTTCTATGCTATTACAAGAATGTTCACTGCATTACAATGCCAATACTGTTTGAATACTCAATTTCTTGTCTTTTCTTTGATTTACAATAAAACTGAATCCTCCAAGCTAGCTCATGCTTCATCAGGCTTGCTCTGTCCCTTGCATTCAGATTCTTTCCATTAAAATTTCTTGAATTCCTTTATGCCCAAATATGGTAGACCACAACACATATTGCATCAAGTAATACTTTCTGTTTTACTTTCTGAAACCTCCAAGTGCTCAAAATACATCCAATACTATTTTTGAAAATTCTAATATTCAGCCCAACTTTCAACCAACTCAGAATATTTTGCAGCATCAACTGAGAGTAAGAACACAAGAAAAAAAGATGATCAGAATTCTCAATTGTACCTGAGCATAGTTCACACTTCATGGATCTTTTAGCAACTGCATTTTGGATAGTCTTTCTTGAGTCAATAGTCGATCCGTTACTACAGCCAGCCAACATATAAAATAGTGCTTCTGCACATTATACTGACCCCTGATAATCTTAGCATAACTATATCTCTCTTGTACACCAATTAGCCATCCATATCCAGATTTTGCAGTGTATGGATTCCCATCAGATTCATTCCAGATGCCCTGCATTAGCCCTTCTTTCAACCTATTTTTAACTACCAACAGTTTCTTCCAATGCCGACCACTGTGGATCATAATTCCATATTGATTTCCCTTTTAAATAGTATACATGTAACCACTAAATTCCATATCGATTTCCAACTAAGGCTTGATTCCAAATAGCAAGGTTTTTAATATGTAAACCCCCTTCACTTTTGCTTTTACATACATCTCCCCCAAGCAACTAGTAAATGGTATTTACCAGAGTGTTTTTTTTTTCCAAAAGAAACTCTCTACAACATCTTTCTATTTGTCTTATCACAGCTTTAGGAATTAGAAAAATACTAGACCAATAAGACTGGGGGTTCATAAGAACTGAGTTTATCAATACTAATCTACCAGTGTACGACAGATTCCTAGCAGACCAGCATTTGAGTCTTGCCACAAATCTTTCAACTAATACTTGACAGTCTAATTGAGTTTATGTAGTGGGAGAAATATGAACACCAAGGTAACGAATAGGGAAATTACCAAGTTAGAAGCCCATGATTTGCTGTATACTGGCCTGCAAGTCTTCCTTCACACCTCCAAACTAATACTGGCCCAGTGATTGCTTCAAATTGCTGCAAAATCTCCTTAATTCTTCTACAGTAGGGTTATCTGCCTAACTGTGGATAATCAGATCATCTGCAAAACTTAAGCTAATTATTTTAAATTTATCACAATACATATTATACTTGAATCCTCCTTTTCCTGTTT